CTCTCCGGACCGCAGGCCGACGCTCTAACCGCTGAGCCAAACCGGCCAGGGCTACATCTTCTATTAACAAGTTATATTTGCAACCAACAGTCCACTAATAAAGCCCTCTGAAACCTTTATCTTTAGCAGAGAGGGCTAAGACTGACCTCTGAGGTGAGCAGGATGGTAAACTGGTTAGGCTGTTTATAATGAAACTTCATTATCTTTAAGTATTGTAAATTCTCAAATTATATATAATATATCTTCAGATTACTATATACATAGTTTATAAGTTTGAAAATTTTTGTTTAAAAGTTTAAAAATGATAAAAAAAAAAACACTTCCCTTATCTCAGTTCCCATTACATCAGAAATATACTTTTTTCTGCCTCTATGAATTACATCAAAGAGCCTGAATAATTACATTTTGTAGTTCATAAAGGATCAAAAAGAGTAATATATCCAATCCATTTAAAAGTGATATAGTTTTGGCATCAGAATTTTATTTTAAAGGTTGTACAGGACCAGATTATGAGGCTGTTGCAAACCGGAGAAATCTATCAGATGTACGAGATGAAAAGACAAAAGTAAATACATTTTCCATTATGTACAACCATTTAGTATTAATGGAACTATTCAGTTAACCACTGGTTAACTAGTTAATCATGCAGAAGTAACCATTCAGATTTATCTCTCTACATGAGTCACATTATTAATGTGATTTCTAACCTTTTAGTAAATTAAAATACTTGTTTGTTAAAAAATAAGTTTTTAATAAAAATATATTAATTAAAAATATAAAATTCTTGGACACTTAACTGAAATTCAGGCATGGGTCACTTTAGAAAAAATATGACTAAAGACTGATATATCATGCCAGGACTAAAAATATGACTAAAGACTGATATATCATGCTTCTTTCTGTGTGTTTTTTTAATATGTTTCTTTTTTAACTGGTTTTTAGAGAGGGGAAAGGAAAGGGAAACAGAGATAGAAACATCGATGAGAAAGAGATATCAATTGGCTGCCTCCTATACACCCCCAATGGGAATTGAGCCCACAACCTGGGCTTGTGCCCTCACCGGGAATCGAACCAGCGATCTCTTGGTCCATGGGTTGATGCTCAACCACTGAGCCACACCGGCTGGGCCTGTGTGTGCTTTTAATGTTTCCAATTCTTTTAACCTCGATTTATTTGGATGGCATGGGGTAGGGTGGGGTGTAAATGGGCAGATAGTTCACAAACACAAACCCTCTCCTGGACATCTTATGAGTAATATGTTAACATGTTAAAATAATGAAAAGCCTTTCCAAAATTACAATGATATACGTACCCTTTCAATACAAAAACATTTGTCATTATCACTGATGGCATACTGCTTCTTTAGATCCTTTTCCCTTTCACAGAATTCAATTACAAACACCACCACACTAGTGACACAATATAAAATAACTTCTCCCAAATTCTCCTAATGTGATCAATCCTCTATAGACACTAGAGAACGTATACCATCAAATTGCATGACAAAGAGTCCCAATGCCTAAGAGACTGAACACTCATATATCAGTCATGGCTGCATGTCTGGGAAAATGAACATCATGATGGGCTCCTGCATTCTTCACATTGTGCTCATGGACAAAGTCAGTGTAGTTTCTATGTACAGGCTGAGGTGGGGACAAGGCCCTTGTGTTCCACTGGTTTCCACCACGTTGACAGCAGTCACTGGCAGCAGAGAGCCTGGATGGTTGGGGAGTGGGAGGGGAGCATAGTTAGTCAATAGGAATAGGAGAAAATTGATGTGTAAGAAGTAATAAAGGAGCAAGACAATGTGACCAGCATGCACCACTGCTACAAGTAGTTATCACATCCTCATGCAAGCACATTCAAGAATAACAAAGGTGGGGAAATCCCACAAAGTTACATGTAGTGGAAAATGTCAATATGAAAATATGTGCAAGTAATCAGTCTGTTAAGTGAATTAAATAAAGAGGAAATTTCATAGAGAGTAAGACACTTGGTATCTGTCCCTGGTGTTGCTACCAAAAATGCTGTCTGAGGTTCTAATGAAAAGAAAAAATATTTATAATCAACTTAATTCAAAAATTTATAGGAAAATTTTACATAAGGACAAAGGCACATATAAAAAAGGACAATTACAAAAAGTATTCTCCAAATAAAGTGATTTCACAAAACTGAAATCCAGGCAACAAAACTCAGAATGAGTATTTTTTTAAAAAACCTACGCTCAGGTTTTTTCATTTTATACCAATGTAATTTTACATCAATGTTCCCAATTAATAATTGAGAACCACTGTTCCTTCTATAATCAAAGATTACAGGAGCTCAGAATGAAATTCAACAGGTACAGATAATGTGATGAGATTATAAACACCAAGAAATAGTTTAATAAGCGTATTAGATGCCGTTTTCACACAGTACTATAGAATAGGCCTATAGAACTATGAGAATGAAACATGCGTACAAGCAGTTCCTGGTTAGAAATTATCAGAGTCCTCCAGTAGAAAGAAAACAGTTGTCAAGATTCAGAAAATCAAGGTTTTATGACATGGCAAAAAGGGCAGTACATATTTAAGATAACTACAAAGGGGGAAAAAAAATCACCCCAATTATAAAAGGTATCTAAGGATATTTAAATATAGTATTTTTCTAACTCAACCAAAACATGAGTATTCACCATTCTTTCTTAGGGAAACTGAAAAAAAAGGCTAACAGAATTTCTCAGAATTTGGAAGTCTTTTTTACAATAAAATCATCACCTTTCCTTCAACTGAAATACAACTTGTTCATCAGATCTAACTCATAAAATTCATGACCCTCAACATAGTCTATGAAGATTTAGGACATCAGGTTTATATTCTCCCCTATTATGCAAGATTTTCAAATATTATTCAATTTTGCTTTTGTTGTTTTTTTAATGGTTTAAGAATTTAAAAGAAAAGTTATCTGCCAGAAATAGAATAGTCCATTATTCTGCCGAACTGTTCAAACCTAGGGAGCATTTCAAAATTTTATTAATGTATCACTTTCTAAAGGAGGACGGAGGACCTTTATATTCATTTAAAAGTATAAGAATCAAAGCATGCAGAAACTAAGAATGAAACGCAGGATGCATTTTATATTAAGGCTGGGGAATCCATTAACTCCAAGACATGTCGGTTCTGTATTCAGTTCCATGCCACTGTTGACATACACTGAGGCTCATTAGGTTTTTCAGATCACCACTTTACTCCATTTCAGCAAGGGAGGTCTCAGCACAATTACATAAGGGAAGGACACACAGCTCCAACTTTTCATTTTTCTTCTAAATCAATACTCTGATTCAATATTCTCTCTTTCTAAAGGCTGCACAAAAAAGAACTAAGCAGTGCCTAACAAATCACATTAAACAGATTTAAATATGTATCCATAAAAGTTGGAAACCTCAATAAAGATTTAATGTCACGCCCGGCCAGCTTGGCTCAGAGGATTGAGCACTGTCCCATGGACTGAGGTCCTGGTTCGATTCCCTCAGGGCAATGCCTGAGTTTCAGGTTCAATCCCTAGTGAGTGAGACTGTGTGTGTGTGTCAGGGTGTGCAGGAGGCAGCCAATCAATGTTTCTCTCTCACGTGGATATTTCTGTCTCTCTCTCTCTTCCTCTCTCTCTCAAATATCAATAAAAACATATTTTAAAAAAGAAGATTTAGCGTCACAATACAGGATACAAACAAATCAGACTCTCATTCCATATTAATATAAAAGGTAAGCATGTATTAAGGGAGTTCTTTTATAGTTGAAGTCTCAGAAGGACTACATTTTTTTGCTAATAGAACTTGGTGATAACATCAAAAAAATAAAACATAGCTGCTTATTGGAGCTGTATTTTCAGCAAAAATTGAAGAAAATCTTCTCAATGGCTTAAAAAAATTAAGATTAAAATTTGACATTTTGAAGCCTCACTATCATACTTTAAATGTGTTGTGCCCACAGCACACACATACACAGAGTCCCCCCTACAACAGTCTCAAGTATAAAGAAAAAAATTTCAGAAACTAATCAAGTTATTTGGAACTGAAGTAAAAATATGCCCAACCATCAAGAGCAAAGCACCTTACAGTTAGTGAAGCCAATATAAAAGTGAAACACAATTACACAGGAAAGGCTGAAAATGATCACCGACCACTGTTGACCCACCACCATGAAGGAAGAACTGGATGCACAGAAAGCTGACCAAAACCTTGAGATCACCACAGAAACTCATTAGATTTCAGGTAGTAAACAAACTAAGAGCAAGAAAAAAAAGAGAAAAATCCTATGAATTATCAAAATTCATTTCATAAATAGACACAAAACTTGAACAGATCATGCAACCGACATTGAGTGTCAGTTCATAGGCCAACATTCAATCACATAATACCCAAGGAGTGCCCCCAAGCCACATACATTTAATTGGGAAAGATAAACCCCACTGATTAACCCCAATAAGCCACAAAATATCCATATTTGTATACTTACTATCAATCTAAAAAAACCCTGGAAATCTAAACAAATGAAATATCTTCCCTGTTACCAGAAGTATTTCATGCTTTGTTTTATTGGACTATAATCATGTTTCTCTTTTGGCTGTATCTTCAATCTTTACTGAAGAAAATACTTTCAAAGCAGTAGCACCATATTATGTGGAGTAAGTGTAACAAACATATTTTCCTTATGCATCTGGGAAAAGGTTCTATTGACTATCATTAAAATCTTTTTTAACAGAGAACCAACCTCCACTCCCAGATCACGCTAACCAAAATAAGGACAGTTGGTTGTCTGTTCTTCATTTAGACAACTGCAAAGCTTCTTCATCCACATCTCTTATTTTCCTCATCCCAATAACTGCTTAATAATGTCTCTTTCAGCCTACAAATATGAATAATTTGCTTTCAATCATATTTAAAGTACTCTACAATTACAGCTGGGAATTTAGAGTATCATTAAGCAAGCAATATTTTATTTTGGTTTAAGGAGTTAACAAACCATTTCCTGTCATGCTGGTCTGTTCCAGGACTCCTTGGAAGATTCTCTATCTCCACCAGCACAGGACCAGGGGGCATAGAAGGAGTCACAAGCAGAGTAGATCTCATACCCCAAGCCTTTGGACACAAATTATAAAAATCATCTGTTTTGCCTTGATAAAAGATCTCTTCACCAATAAAAAGAACATTAAAATAAAATACTATTCTACATAGTTATCAAATATAATGTAAACAAATGCTTAAATGTTATATATCACCTTAAAGATACATAATAACCTAACTGAATATTATTTTATTCTTTTACAAGATTTACAGGTACAGAGAGTTTTAGAGTACATCTATTCACATCTGAGAAAATAAAATAACAGAGGGTTTCACATTACTGAGCCACTTTACAGATAAAAAAAGAAGATGCATAAAACTCTCCAAAGTTACACCACTATGAATATTCAATTAGTAATACTAGTTTTTGTCATAACTAACTTTAGTATTCTAATGCTTTAGAAGCTTAATATTAAGAAGTCTTACCTGTTGGGAGCCATTACTCTGGGTTGAAACATTACTTTGAGTGCTGTAAGGGGGGAAAGATCCATTAAAAACCATACACAGGGCTTCACATTCTCAGATGATAATGAAAGTAGCTTTAGTTTTAGACATAAATTTTGTTTCAAATAAATAAAAACATTACTGTTGCTTAAAACTAAGAATGTAAGATGCCCAGACATTTGCTTTCATAGGCACACACTTTTCTGTAGTCTACTAATTTGATATTTCTATATATGTATATATGGAAGTATATACATTAATAAAGTATTAATCCTCACCTGAGGATATTTTTCCATTAATTTTTAAAGAGTGGAAGGAAGGGAATGGGGGGGGGGGAGGGACAGAGGAAGGGAGGGAGGGCATAGGGGAGGGGGGGGAGGGGAGAGACAGAGACAGAGACAAACATTGATTGGTTGCCTCCTGCACGACAAACCCAGGTACATGCTGCCCTTGACTGGGAATTGAACCTGCAACTCTTCGGTTCACGTGCCGACACTCTTTAACTGCTGAACCAAACTGGCCAGGGAAATATTTCCATATATGTTAACTGTGCTTTAACTGTATTTTAATTGTGCTTTAGATGTACCACAATCTTGTTTATTCAATGGACAATATATGTCGAAGATGACAAATAAAAATACTGGCACAAATAATGCCTTAAATACAAAGTATTAAGGACAAACACCCTTATCTGTCACTTCTTTTGTATATTCCTACCCTCTCAAGATTTTCCAGTGTCAGCAATAGCTCAGCATTTTAAGTCAAAAGGCCTTAGTATAAACTTAGTTAGAAACTTCTCTATATACCTTCCCCTCCAAATGATTTCTAAATATATTTCTAAATTTTTAATTTCACTCATTTTCTTCCCTGCACCTCACAAAGCACTTAAAAAACCTCAACCTATAGTACAACAAAATATATAGAAAAATATCTCAGAACAGCTAAAAAAAAGAACAAATATTCAATGAAGTAAGAACTCAAAGAGGAAATAATACCACAATAAAACGGGAGGGAAAAAAGAATATAGTGACTTCAGACCTTCTAACATAAGCATAATCAGTATCCTGAAGTAAAGAATTCAACTAAAGCAACAAAAAATATATTCAAAGTTATTTAAAAGTTACTTGAAAATGAGAAAACAATGTAAAGATTTAATGAGATCACTATGTTCCAGAAAAATGAGATACAGAATTAAATATATTCAGTCCCTTATTACTAAATTACCGGCCTTCAAGGACGAAAAAAAATACTTCAGATACCCCAAGCAGATTTAAAAGCCAATTATTGTTAGTGTCTTGTTGGCACAGACTTTTCCATAGAAATACTCAAGAATATTATACCCAGCCAAGATGTCATTCTAGTAAAAGGAAATAGGCAAAGCTTCTCAAACCAAACAAACTCTTAATGCAGCATCCAGGAGCCTTTCTTAGAGGAGTGAGAGCAAAAGAAAAACTATCTGATGATGAAAGACAACAATTAAAACAGAACTCACAAACGAGGAAGTCTTCATTTGGGTGATGAGGAAAACCATTTTATGTTATTTATTGTAATCCTCAACTGAGGATATATTTTTATTGAATTTTTTTTTTTTTATCCTCACCCGAGGACAAAAAGTGGGAAGGAGGGAGAGAGGGAGAAACATGGACGTGAAAGAGACACATCAAGTGGTTGCCATCCGCACAACCCAACCAGGGCCAGGAACAAACTGCAACTGAGGTACGTGCCCTTAGCAGGAACCAAACCTGGGTCTCTCTGGACCACAGGCTGATTCTCTAACCGCTGAGCCAAACTGGGCAGGGCTGTTTTCAATGATTTTAGAGAGAGGAAGGGGAAGAGAGAGAAACATGATATGAGAAACATCAATCGGTTGCTCCTGCAGGTGCCCCAACTGGGGATGGGGAACCCACAACCTAGGTATGTGCCCTGACCAGGAATCAAACCTACAACCTTTTGATGGACAGGACAATGCTCCAACCAACTGAGCCACCCTGCCAGGGCCATTTTATGCTATTTTTAAATTAACTACATCTCTATTGCAAGTTGAGTCACCAGAACCTGCACTACCATTGCCTGGGTTCAAATCCAAGCCACCGTACTAGCTCTGCTCTTAGAACTTTGGTTCCTCATTTGCATGAGACTGTTAGGAATTAAATGAAGTAATATTAGCAAAGAAAAAAGAACAGTAATAAATAAAACTAACTGACAAAAAAAGAAACTTTAAAAATGTTGTTTAGGCCTGGTCAGTGTGACTCAGTGGTTGAGCGTCGATCCATGCACCAAGAAGTCACCAGTTCAATAACCAGTCACAGCACATGCCCAGGTTGTGGGCCACATCTCCAGTGGGGGGCATGCAGGAAGCGGCCAATAGATGTTTTCTCTCATCAATGTTTCTATCTCTCTCTCTCCCTCTTCTTTCCTCTTTCTCTAAAATCAATAAAGAAAAAATTTTTTTTAATGTTTAGTGTAGATCTGTTGCCAAGGCAAATATAAAAAATATACTTGTTACGCATGAGTTCTTTTTACTAATAATGTTGCTCTTCTCAGAGTAAATTATATGCTGGTTTAACTAACCCATAGTCCCAAATATTAATGAAATCTGATCCAAACTGCTTGGTACAGAAATTAGACTCACTACTCTATGATTCCCTAGGTTATTCTCTGGAGCTTTTCCTTAAACTGGGAGTAACCCCAGGGAGTGATGGGTAAAAGATGAATAATAACATGAGAAAAAAGTACGTAAGTGATGTTAACTGGATCAGAGCTAACTGTTTTCAAACAATTTGAAATGTAGAAAGTACTATTTTCTTATAGTTACACATATTCTTTCACCTCCACTAATATGAAAGTGGGGAGGAACATTTCTCATTACTGACATAGTCCAAGTTTTTTCCTTTTGAAGGATTACCTTCAATAATTGACCCATTCTGCTTTTATACCACCTCTATTCATCATTGCCTCCACCATTTCTTCTTTTCCTCTTTTCTGTCTGCAAAATTCTATCTGCTAAGTCTGTATAAAAATGTTAACTATCCTTTAGAATGTTACCTCTTCTTAAGATACTTTATATTATTAGTGAAGTCTCACAAGAAAATAGTTAGGAGATAAAACAGAAAAGAAAGTGACTGACATTGGCCAATTTAAAAATGTGTTACTCAGATTGGCACAGTACAAGGTCAAGAAGCTTTTTAGGTCAAATAGTTGTGCTTTTTCAAACAGTACTGTTTTCCATGGTTCACTGAAACAAAATTGTTCATGCGGACAGGACGACAAGGGCAAGACTGAAAGTGCATTCATGCCAGTCCAGGCTCAGGCTCTCAAGCACCATTATGAGTAGTGCTCAATAACCTTCAGTCAGGAGAGTTGCCTCCCTCTACTTTCATTTCATTTCTAAAAGTTTATTCTAATAAAAAATAATAATAAAGCACCATTACTTAAATATGCCATTTCTAATGTGTTTTCCAAAGCCAAGAAAGAGGGAAAAAAAATAATTAAAGTTAAATTAATTTTAATTTTAGGAAAGAGATTATATAGTCAGTCACTTTATAGTCAAATATGTGTATATAAAAAACTTCTAAAGGGGGACAAACTCTTACATATAAAAGCCTTAATTTTTCAACTGCATAACACCGCTTGAATGCTTTGTTTATATTTCTGCTAACTTCGCCAGGTTATGTTCTTTAAGCTCTACTATTCTGTGCTAGCTTCCCTTTCAGGAAAGCAAGACATAATCCACTAAACAAACAAAAAAAGAATACAGTTTAAAAAAATACAGAACACCTCTAACACTTCTCCACCATTATCTTAACAGCATAGGTTATATATATCCAAGGAAAATAAAACAAGCAACAGCTAAAGAAACTTAAAGGGTACTTTTAAAAAAGCAGAGTGCTTTTGCAGTGAATCACTAATCACAGCCTGGCTTTAATGGCTTTCTAGGTGGAAAAAAACTGAATAGGACATCTCAAGGTGAAGCTGACCATACTCAGTGCAGACAATTTTTTTTAAAAAGTAATTTTAATGTCCTGAATCAAATACTTTAACAGGCATTCCAAGAGACACTGACATATACCAAGGTTGAGAAGCATCATATGAAACTATACATACTATTAAATTTTATTGTTTCATCAGAAGTAGGACTTCTAGAATGGTGATTGGAGGACCCTCTCCCCAGAAAAACAAAGATTTAACTGATGACAATTATTTTTTAAAATCATCAAAAGGCACACATCAAGTGGAGAAACACTTAATTCAAGAAAATCTTCTAATTTTCACGAGTTAAGTCTGGCATTTGAACCACAACTTGCTCCCCTGCTTCCCCATTCTCCCAAGTTCAATGTTGTGGAAGCTCTACTCCAGGATGGTGCAGTCAAGAAAATAAACTTTCTCCCAGCAATGCAGACTTTAAATCAGCTATTTTAAATATGTTCAGGAACTAAAAAATCAAATATAAAGAATTAAAGGAAAGTATGAGAACAATGTCTCCACAAATAAGAGAATATCATTAAAGAGAGAAATTGTAAACAAAAACCAAATTGAAATTTTGGAGTTGAACTGCATATTGACTAAAATAAAAATTCACTAGGAAAACACAATAGCAGATTTTAGCAGTCAGAAAAATAAGTAACTTGGATACAGGTCAAGTGAGATTATCTAGTCTGAGCTACAGAAAGAAAAAATGAACAAAGACTTGAAGACCTATAGCACACCATCAAGTAATGGGAGTCTCAGGAGAAAAGAGCAAAAAGATAATTTGAAGAAATAATGGGTGAAAACTTCCCAAATTTGATGAAAACAATATACCACACAAAAGCAACCAGAAGAGAACTGGACTGGCAAAACTTATATCAGAAAAAATAGACTTTAAAACAAAAAAAGATACTAAAAAAAAAAGAGAGACAGTTATCATTAATAAAATAATCCAACAATTATAAACATATATACACCTAACAAAAAGCCCCAAAATACATAAAGCAAAAACTGAAAGAAATGAAGGGAGGAAGAGACAAATGAATAACAAGAATTGAAAACTTCAATACCCTAGTCTTAATACTGAATAAAACTAGGCAAAAGGTCAACAATGAAGTAGAAGTCTTGAATAACAGTATAAATCCACTAGACTTAACAGACATCACAAAACATTACACTCAACAACAGAATCTATATTCTTCTCAAGCGCACATGGACCATTTTCTAAGAAAAATAAAATGGCCCTGGCCAGTTTGGCTCAGCGGTGGGAGTGTCAGCCTGCGGACCAGAGTCCCGGGTTCCCACTAGGGGCACATAACAAAACAAACAAACAAACAAACAAAAAACCACAACCTAATTTGCCCTGGCCGGTTTGGCTCAGTGGTTAGAGTGTCGGCCTGAGGTCCAGAGACCCGGGTTCAGTTTCCGGTAAGGGCATGTACCTCGGTTGCAGTTTGTCCCTGGCCCTGGTTGGGTCGTGTGGGTGGCGACCACTTGATGTGTCCCTTTCACGTCGATGTTTCTCTCTCTCTCTCTCTCTCTCTTCCTCTCTCTCCTTCCCACTCTATCTGAACATAAAATGAAAAACTGTCCTCAGATGAGGATTAAAAAAAAATAATAATAATAATAATAATAATATACTAAGCCATGAAAGAAGTCCCAGTAAATGTAAAGGTATCACAATCATATAAATCATGTTCTCTAATTATAATGGAATTACAAAAAAATAAATAACAGAAAAATTTAAGATATTCACAAATATGTGGAAATCAAGCAACACCTCTCAAGTAACTAGTGGATCAAAGAAGAAATCACAACAGAGATTAGAAAATAATTTGGAATAAAATAAAAATATAACATGCAAAAACTTATGAAATGTGATTAAAGCAGTTTGTAGGGCAATTTATAGCTATAAATGTTATATTAAAAAAGAATAAAGATCTCATATGAAAAATCTAATCTTCCACCTTAAGATATTAGAAAAAGAGGAGCAAATTAAACCTAAAGCAAGCAGATGAAATAAAACATCAGAGTGAAAACTTAAATAGGTAATAACTGATGTAATCAAAAGCTGTTCTTTGAAAAGGCCAACAAAACTAACAAACTTTACAAATACTGATAAATTAAAAAAAGAAGAGGAACTCAAACTACTAAAATAAAAAATGAGTAAGAGTGCCCTGGCCAGGTGGCTCAGATGAGACATCAAAAGGTTGTGGGTTCGATTACTGGTTAGAGCACATACCTAAGTTACAGGTTTGATCTCCAGTACTGGTGTGTACAGGGGCAACTGATTTATGTTTCTGTCTCACATCAATGATGTTTCTCTTTCTCTCTTACTCCCACATCCTCTCTCCCTAAAAAAAATCAATAAAAACATATCCTCAGGTGAAGACTCCAACAAAAAAAAAGAGCCCTGGCCAGTTTGGCTCAGCAGTTGAGCATTGGCCTGCGGACCACAGAGTCCCGGGTTCGGTTCCTGCTAGGAGCACGTACCACAAAAAAAAAAAAAAAAAAAAAGAATAAGACTGCATCACTACCAACCTTACAGTAATAAAATGGAAAAGGGAATAATATAAACAACTGTATGCCACAAATTACATAACTTAAATGAATGGGTAAATTCTAGAAAAACACAACTTCCAAACTAACTCAAAATGAAATCTGACTAGACCAATAACAAGAGATTAATTAGAAATTTTAAAACTTTACACAAAGATCAAGTCCACGTAAGATGGCTTTAACGGTGAATTCTACCACACGTTTTAAATAGCAATTCTTGATAAACTCTTCCCAAAAAATAGGAGGAAAGGAAACATTTCCCAACTAATTCTACTCTTGAAGCCAGTATTACCATGACACCAACACCGGATGAAGACATTACAAAGAAAACTATATACCAGTATCTTGGATGAATATAGACACACAAATGCACAACAAGATATTAGTGAACCAAATCCAGCAAGATGTAATATAAAGAAGGATTATACACCATGACAAAGTGAAATTTATCCCATGAATAAAATTGTTTATCTGCAAATCAACCCTTCTTCTTCGAGCTGTGTGCAAGGACCATAATTTATTCATCTTTAAATCCTCATTGTCAGTAACAAATGTATGTCATTCTCATTATATATAGCACATCCACACTCATCCCACTCTTTATTTCTTTAAACTGCTTTATTTTTTTGTGTTTGTGTCAATTTTATCTGGAAATATGTGTTTGTTCCCAAAAGGTTAGAAACAACTTAACACTTTATATAGATCTTCAACAAATATTTAATCAGTAATAGCAACTACATATATTCTTAAAAATTCTATGTCAATTCTTAAGGTGCAAGACATTACCCACCTGAGTTCTTCAGGTTTTCCTATACCTGCTGACAGAATAAAAATAAAAAGTCCCATTAGTTTCCTCTTACATGGTGAGCTGCATCACCGTTCATAAATGCTTTGTAAGCCATGTTTCCCAACCATAGATTTAAAAATCTTCATTTTGTAAAAGTGTTCTAGGGTTCACATCATTAAAGTCAATGTGGCACTTACTTCCATTTGTTAAATAAGGCAATAAAATAAGTATACATCTCTTCTTTTAAAATAAAACCATCAGAAAGCCTTGTAGAGTGAACTGAGTGACAATGGAGCATTGTCAGTTCAAAATAAAAGGTAATCTAGGGTTTTAAACCATCACAAATTGAAATGGCTTCATTAATAGCTATATCTTACCTAACGTATAGCCATACCAAAAATTATGAATATAAATCAATTTTTAAAAAAACTAACACTGCCAAACATCAGGTCATGGCAGTTGTTTCTGGACAATTAGTGATGACCCTGATATTGAACATTAAAATTCTATCTGTATTTTATTTTATTTTAATGTTCTTTATTGATTTTATTTATTTATTTATTATTATTATTATTTTATCCTCACACGAGGACATTTTTCCATTTCTTGTTCAGGTAGAGTGGGAGGGAGAGAGAGGAACAGAGAGAGAGAGAGAAACATCGATGTGAAAGGAACACATCGAGTGGCTGCCACCTGCACAACCGACCAGGGCCGTGGACAAACTGCAACCGAGGTACGCGCCCTTAGCGGGAACCGAACCCGGGTCTCTCAGGACCGCAGGCCGACGCTCTAACCACTGAGCCAAACCGGCCAGGGCATGTTCTTTATTGATTTTAGAGAGAGAAGAAAGGAGAGGGAAAGAGAAACAAACAGCGATAAAAGAGAAACATCAATGGGCTGCCTCCTACTGGGAATCAAGCCAGCAACCTGGGCATGTACCCTGACCAGGAATCGATCCGGTGACCTCTCAGTGCATGGGGTGATGCTCAATCAACTAAGCCACACTGGCCAGGGCTCAATCTGTATTTTAATACAAACTTAGATTTGAAACCAAACACAAATTTTAGTTTATTTGTCAAAGTTAACCATGCTTTTCATTATATAATTAAAGAAACTTATAGGAAGTAACATTAATGAATTAACAAATTTTTATATATGATATATACTGATGATTAAATATAAAAACTTATTTTATAGAATCCTTAATAATATATCATATAAAATAATTTTTACTTAAAATTTATTAATCATTTATCAATGTTTTTAAAAGTTCCTAAGGGGATTTTAAAGATTATTATGAATGAGATCTAGAAGTCAAAAAGGGAAGGGAAACGTTGCCCTACAAAATAACTGAAATAGTTAATATGAACAAAAACTGAACTCAAACTCAGTATAGTGTTGAAATTGGGACTAACGTAAAGTTTAATCTCAGCAACCATATAGGCAATTTTTCCCTCTGTATTTTATTAAATTGATTATGCTGGAACCAAATTGACTGGAACAAACTTAAGAGTCCTCTCAAGTAAACAATGTACATGAGAATTGTCAAAAAGAACAGTCCTTTGAAACGGTTACACTTTACCTTTCATCTGCAGAGTTCGTCGAGAATATCGTTTGCTGGGCCTTCTTTCAAAGGATGTTGATCTTCTTGCTTTGTTGGTTTTTGTGGTCTGATACTCAGTTTTCCCACTAAAATAAGACATATTAACAGGAATAAGAGAATTTAAGACTTTCAGTAATCAGATACACATAAATGAGAAAAAGTCTATATTGGGATTCTTCTTTAAATAACCATCCTGAATTTCATCCTGAGGGAACTGCTAGTAATAATCTTGATATCTCTCTTTATCACATCATTCTTTCACTCTTTAGGCTTGTGTAAAATATGCAACACACAAGTTATATTGTTTTTTCTTTATTGATTTTAGAGAGAAGGGAGAGGGAGAGAGAGAGAGCATCAGTGAGAGAGAACATCAATTGGCCGCCTCCTGCATGCCCCGTGATGGGGATTGCGCCCACAACCTGGACATGTGTCCTGACCAGGAATCGAACTGGTGACGTCTTGGTGCATGGGTCGACACTCATCCACAGAGCCACACTGGCCCGGCTAAGCTTGTGTTTTTATAGAATTTCCTTCCTCACTCCATTCATATTCCTGAATGCAGTGTGCAATTAACTCAAGATTTTCAGTTACTTTTTCTAACTGTGATATACTTTTCAGAATAATTCTCCAGAAATATTTAAAACTATTGTTTTTAATTAATTAATTAATTTATTTATTTATCCTCACCCAAGGACATCTTTCCACCTTTTCTTCAGATAGAGTGTGAGGGGGAGAGAGAGAGAGTGGAAGAGAGAAAGAAACATTGATGTGAGAGAGACACACCAAGTGGCTGCCACTCGCACGACCCAAACAAGGCCGGGGACGAACTGCAACCGAGGTTATATGCCCTTAGCAGGAAACGAACCTGGGTCTCTCTGGACTGCAGGCTGACGCTCTAACCACTGAGCAAAACTGGCCAGGGCCCCAGTTTTAATATAGATAGAATAGAAGCTCTCTTAATGAATCCCACACAACTGTCTTGCCACATTATTTACATTCCTTCTTTAAATCATACTGGCTAATTCTCATGGCATGCTGAAAACTCACAATCAATAATCTACTCTCATGTAAACCAAAACATTCCTAACTTACAACAAACAAACAAGGAGTCTATAAGAATAATGGGCCCTGGCCCTGGCCGGTTTGGCTCAGTAGTTAGAGCGTCAGCCTGCGGTCTGGAGAGACCTGGGTTCGGTTCCCGCTAGGGGCGCGTGCCTCAGTTGCAGTTTGTCCCCGGCCCTGGTTGGTCGTGCGGGTGGCAGCCACTCGATGCCTCTCTTTCACGTCGATGTTTCTCGTTCTCTCTCTCTCTTCCTCTCTCTCCCTCCCACTCTATCTGAACAAAAAATGGAAAAATGTCCTCGGGTGAGGATGAAAAAAAAAAAGGAATAATGGGCCCTGGCCAGTTTGGCTCAGCAGTTAAGAGCATTGGCCCGTGGACCAGTCATGGGTTCGATTCCAGTCAATAACACGTACCTCAGTAGCAGTTCGATCCCTAGCCCTGGGCAGGATTGTGTGGGAGGAAACCAATCGATCAACCAATTGATGTGTCTCTCTCTTTTTTCTTTTTAATTTTTTTTTCTTTTATTGGTTTTTTAGAGAGAGATGAAGTAAAAAGGAGAGAGAGATAGAAACATTGATGAGAGAGAACATTGATTGGCCACCTCCTGCATGCCTCCCAATGGGGATTGGGCCCACAACCTGGTCATATGTCCTGACAGGGAATCAAACCAGCAACCTCTTGGTGCGGGGGTTGACGCTCAACCACTGAGCCACACTGGCTGGACTCGATGTGTCTCTCTCACATCGATGTTTCTCTTCCTCTCTTCCTCCCTCCCTATCCCTCCCACTCTATCTGAAAATCAATGGAAAAATATCCTCAGGTGAAGATGAAAAAAAAAAAAATAGAATGAAACTTCAGGTTTTGTAAAGGACGAGAAATGGTATTCAAATTAATTTGCTCCTCAGAACAGAAAACTCTTTCCCTATATGGTATTCAGCTGTTGGATAAAGACACCTTAAAGTTCTTGTTATATAGATTTAAATTGGGGGCTAATTAAGATATAAAGTCAATGTTAACAGGGATGTAAAATCCATTACACCATTATGTTTCCTGTCTATTCTGGAAATTACAATCAATAACAATATACCACTTTTTATTTTATTTTGGCCAATGGAGAACAATGGCAAGTCTATTTCTCTGTGACCTAGTTACCACATCTATAAAATGAGGGGTTGGCCTAAACTGTTTGTCCTCTATGAAAGAATGAAAGGTATAGCAGGTAGCTATTAACACCAACCTATATCTAAATCGTGATCCTAGTCGAATAAATCCTGATCGCTGAGAACCCTTTTGGACAGGGCCTCGGAGGCGGAAGAAGGCATGGTGCTCCACAGCACATTTCCATAAATGTTTGCAAGCTTTTGGATGGTCCAGTCTAAAGACAAAAGTATGTTCCTGCTCTTTGCCCTGAAAAAGAAAAGGATGCAAAGAGAGGTAAGATTAGGTCAAACATTTCTGTCCCATTACTTAGCTACAAATACAACCCCAGCAAAACCAAGAAATCAAATAAAGCATCTAGTTTGCTCCCTGATACTCAGTCACTCTTTATAGCTACCTAAGAGCTGAAATCAAGCTGTCCGTTTTCTCAGACAACATATAATTATTCCTAAGAGGGTCCTCTCTACTTATGTGATCTCATTTCTGAGACACATAAAATGAGGCTTTATCTGTCACACTTTGAGATAAATGTATAACTATAATTTAAAAGATCAGACAAGATCTGGTAATATTTATCAACAGATTTAAATATGTCCAAATTCTTTGTCATAGTAACCATACTCACAGGAATCTAATTACAACAGTTAGCATTCATAGGCACTTTCCTAAGAATTTCACATGAATTACTATTTCAATGAGCAAATACTATCATTAGCTCCATTTCATAAACAAGAAAACTGAGACTCAAGAAATTAAGCCCAAAGTCACAAAGTTAGTAAGAGAAAAATTTAAACATAGCCATTTTTGTAATAGCTAAACTATACTCTCTCTCCAGATTTTCTAAACAAAATTTACACGCAAAGATTTTCTTCAGTTTCATTTACAAGAGTAAAAACTGGTGCGCGCGCGCGCGCGCACACACACACACACACACACACACACACACACAACATAAAAAAACCTTAACTGTTCAAAACAACAAAAATATCAACTAGCCCTGGCCAGTTTGGCTCAGCGGTTAGAGAGTCGGCCTGCGGTCCGGAGAGACCTGGGTTCGGTTCCCGCTAAGGGTACGTACTTCGGTTGCAGTTTGTCCCCGGCCCTGGTTGGTTGTGCGGGTGGCAGCCACTCGATGTGTCCCTTCACGTCGATGTTTCTCTCTCTCTCTCTCTCTCTCCCTCCCACTCTATCTGTGCAAAAAATGGAAAAATATCTTCGGGTGAGGATTAAAAAAAATATATATATATCAACTAAATAATAGTATATTTAAAAACTATAGAGAAAGCCCTGGCCAGTTTGGCTCAGCGGTTGGAGCGTTGGCCTGCGGTACAGAGAGACCTGGGTTCGGTTCCCGCTAAGGGCACGTACCTCGGTTGCAGTGTGTCCCCAGCCCTGGTTGGTTGTGCGGGTGGCAGCCACTCGATGTGTCCCTTCACATCGATGTTTCTCTCTGTCTCTCTTCCTCTCTCTCCCTCCTGCTCTATCTGTACAAAAAATGGAAAAATGTCCTCAGGTGAGGATAAAAAAAAAAAAAAAACTATAGAGATAAATGAATAAATGAATGAATATATTATTGTTTATTCATATTAAAGATATTATAGAATATTATACACAGAATAAAATGAATGAACTAGAGATACATGGCAACACCTTTTTAGGTAAAATAAGCAAACTGCTAAAAAGCAAATACAGTATATATATATAATCTACGTAAATTATATATATATAATTTATGTAAATTTTAAAAACAATTCTACCATGTTTTTATATTTTTAAAAAATTAGAAGAGAATGATACCCTCTAAGAATGGTGACCAGCTACAGGGAAGGAAGGGGCAAGTTGGGGGATTAGACCTTAGCTGTATCAAATATACTGCTACTAATTTATCTATTTCTAAAAGATAATTCTGAAGAAACAATGCCAAAATGTTAAATCAAATAAGTGACATGGATATCAATTTTATAATTTCTCTGTACTTTTCAGTATATTTAAATATTATGTAACTTAAACTATTTTGTCATTTAGAAGTATTTTATATGCCCTGGCCGGTTTGGCTTAGCGGTTAGAGCATCGGCCTGCGGTCCGGAGAGACCTGGGTTCGGTACCCACTAAGGGCACATACCTCGGTTGCAGTTTGTCCCTGGCCCTGGTTGGTTGTGCGGGTGGTGACCACTCGATATGTCCCTTTCACATCGATGTTTCTCTCTCTCTCCCTCCCACTCTACCTGAACAACAACAACAAAAAAGTATTTTATGAACTCTACATGTAGGTTCTTCATGACCTTGGTACAGGCAAAGATTCTTAAATTTTAAGACTCATAAAGTACTTATCGCAAAAAAAAAAATTTAGAAATTGTATTACATTAAAATTGAAACCCTCTATTAATCCAAAAGATACTTTTAGGGGAGACAAAAGGAAAGCCAGGGAGAAGATACTTGCAACACACATATGACAAAGAACGATATTTAGACTATATAAAGCAGTTTAATGAGGAAAAAAGCACATGACCCAATAGAAAAATGAAAAAAAGACTTGAATAGGCACTTCGTAAAAAAGAATATCCAAATATCCATATAAATATATAAATAATTGCTATATGTATAGTCATCAGGAGAATGCAAATTAAAAATGATTCTACTATCAGAATGACTAAAATGAAAAAAAAAACAAAAACCAAGTAGCAAAATAAAAATAAAACTCTTATAACACTGTGGGTAGGAGTGGAAACTTTTATATAAATACTTTAGAAAACAGTTTGGCAGTATCCACCAAAACCAAACACATGCATAGTCTGGTGTTGAGAGCAACACTCGTCTTAATAGCCAAAAATTAAAAATAATTTAAATGTCTACCATGATCAATAAGTGTGGTCTACTCATAAAATGAAATACTACATACTATATAACAATATATATTATATAATATACTCACTCACTGCAACAGGGCTAATGCTCACAAATACAATGTTGAAATCAAGAAGCCAGACACAAAAAGAACACTCAGTCAGGTTTTATAAATTCAAAATATAAGCAAAAACAAATCTACGGTATTAGAGCAGAAGAGTACTTATCTTTAGGGGACTGTACCTGGTGGCGGGGGGGCACAAAGAAGATTCTATTATTCTGGTACTACTCTATTTCCTCATCTGGATGCTGGTCATAAGATATATGTGAAAACTGAACAAGTTGTACATTTATTTTTGCACTTATCTGAATGTATGTTATACTTCAATGAAATGTGCCAACAAAAACTACATACAGTAAAAAACATGGGAAAATATATAAACTCAAAGTAGGAAAACCTTTCTATGACACAAAACCCACAAGCCATAAATAAGTAACAAATTCACCTGTTTAAAGGTTTTTAAATAAATGGGGACAATCACAATAAGCAGTGCTAAAAGGTAAACAATAATTAAATAAAATATTTACAATTTTTATAACAAACAGCAAAACCTGTGAGACAAAAAGGACAACAACCCAAAAGAAAATGGGCAAAGAATATATAAATAGATAGTTTGGAGGAAAGAAAATACAAATAACTCAAAATGTATGAAAAGATGTTCAATATCACTCACAATAACAGATATAAAAATTAAACCTGCAATGAAATTCCAATTTTCACCTTTCAGATAAAAATGTGGTAACTCCTGGAAAAAGGTTTGTACACATATTAAATAGTGCAACTTGGTAAGCTCTCTCTATATCCATGACAAATGCACATTACCATTTGAACAAGCCAGTCCACCTCCAGAAAAGTATCCTCTAGATACCTACCAATGTACAAATTACAAATGTACAAATATCTATATAGTGAATAAATGTCAATTAACTGAGAACTGATTAAATAAATTAAGATATATCCTAGAATACTATGCAATTTTAGTTTATGGGTTTTTTTGGTTTTTTACTTTTTTTAAATCCGCACCCAAGGATATTTTTTCTATTTATCATCAGATAAAGTGGGAGGGAAGGAGAGAAACATCAATGTGAGAGGGACACATTGGCTGCCTCCCCCAAAACCCCAACCAGGGCCAGGGACAAACCACAACTGGGATATGTGCCCTTGACTGGAATTGAAACTGAGACCCTCTGGTCTGTGGGCTGATGCTCTAACCACTGAGCGAACCGGCCAGGGCTAGTTTATGTTTTTTAATAAGCATGAGGAAGCACTTTATGTATCGATATGAAAAAGATCCTAGCCCTGGCCAGTTTTGCTAAATGGATAGAGTGTCGGCCTGTAGACCAGAGTCTTGGGTTTGATTTCGGTCAAGAACATGTACCTCAGTTGCAGTCAGTCCCCAGCCCTGGTCAGGGTTGAGCAGAAGGCAACCAATCAATGTGTCTCTCTCACATCGACGTCTCTCTCTCTCTCTCCCCGTCCCATCCCCTTCTCTCCCTCATTCCCTCTCTCGTTCCTTCCCTCTCTCCCTTCCTCCCTCCCACTCTATATGAAGATCAATGGAAAACTATCCTTGGGTAAGGATTAAAAACAAGTAAAAAACCAACCCCCCTCTAAAAAAAAAGATTCCAAGATATAATGTACAGTTTAAAAAGGATAAACCACAGAACTTATATGCATGTACACATAACCAATGGACACGGACAACAAAGCTGGGGATGACATGAGGGGGATGAGGAGGAGGGTGTCAATGGGGGAAAAAAAGGAGAAACATCTGTAACAAAAATAAATTAATAGCCCTGGCGGGTTTGGCTCAGCGGGTAGAGCGTCAGCCTGCGGTCCCAAGAGACCGGGGTTGGTTTCCCGCTAAGGGCATGTACCTTGGCTGCACAGTTTGTCCCTGGCCCTGGTTGGGTCGTGCAGGTGGTGGCCACTCGATGTGTCCCTTTCATGTCGATGTTTCTCTCCCTCTCTCTCTCTTCCTTTCTCTCCCTCTCTCTCCCTCCCGCTCTATCTGAATAAAAAATGGAAAAATGTCCTCAGGTGAGAATAAAAATAAATAAATAAATAAATAAATAAATAAATAAATAAATAAATAATAAAAATAAAATTAATTAATTAATAAGAATGAAAATTTAAAAAGGATAGCCCTGGCTAGTTTGGCTCAGCAGTTGGAGCGTCAACCAGACGCTCCAGAGAGACCCAGGTTCGGTTTCCACTAAGGGCGCGTACCTTGGTTGCAGTTTGTTCCCAGCCCTGGTTGGTAGTGTGGGTGGCAGCCACTCGATGTGTCCCTTTCACATCAATGTTTCTCTCTCTCTCTCTCTCTCTCTCCCCCCTACTCCATCTGAACAAAACGTGGAAAAAGATGTCCTCGGGTGAGGATAAAAAATAATAATTAAATAAATAAATAAGGATAAATGAAGAACAGTATATAAGCATGCTAACTGGTATAAAAAAGAACTGATATACACATTTGTTTGTATGTATAAAATACCTTTAAATGATATCCAAGAAGCTAATACTATATTATGTATCAGATCAAATCTAAAATGCTATCAACTGTAAGACACAGATTTTTATGGTTCAATAACAAATGTCACTAATTAAATTATGACCATATTTTCCTATCATATAGAATTTTATTTTATTCTTCTTGAAAAACTACCTTTAGTTTCACATACACAAGTGCTTATATAAAAAGGAAAATATTGGTAAAACATTATTTTTAAATGAGATACCGGCCTCTTCTGAATCATTTTCAATTCATCTGTTGATGCTATAATGATCATCCTCTGTGCCATTAAGAGACTTCTTTAAATGTTCTATTATCTCTATGATTTTCTTCCAGACTGTGTGATAGGGCAATCCTCTATTTGTAACTCAGTAACAGAACTTTTAAAACTTAGTACTATATCATCTAATTTTCAGAATCTTCTTTTTTAGGTTCTGATAACCAGTCCTTACACTTCATTGTGCACATAAATCTTTTTAACATTTTGATCAATTTGCTTTTATCGATATCTATGTGTCTTTAAATTTACTTCCTTGTATGCATTAAAATTATTTTTATTTACTCAGAATTCTGTAAGTTCTGACAAATGCATAGAGCAGCAATTTTCAACCGGCGTGCCAAGAGCACACTGGTGTGCCACAAGAATTATTAAGATGAAAAAAATAAAATAAATAAATAAAATAAATAATTTTAATAAAACATGCAATACCTGACTATTTAGTCAGGGGCACTGACCCATTTTCCCTTAGATTATCAAATTAAAAAATGACAACAGTGAATACAACAATAGCTGTCCAGTGTGAATAAATCAAAATTATACCTTTTTTTGTCAGATCACCAAAAAATATACTTCTGAGTGTGCTGCAGAATTTTAGTAATTAGTTTATGTGTGTCGAGATAAAAAAGGGTAAAAATCACTGGTATAGAGTATAGAACCCACCACCAAAATCAGGATACAGAATAGTTCTCTCATTCCCCAATGCTGTTCTTTTGTAGTCAAGTCTCTTCACTCCACCTAGTCCCAATCAGTGATCTATCCTCCATTCCTGTAGGTGTCCCATTCTCAGACTGCCATATACATTAACTCATATACTCATGATCCTTGAGTCTGGTCTCTTTCACTTAGCATAATGCCTCTGAGTTGCACCTATGTTGTTCTGTGTATGAGTTAGAACCTAGATTTAACTGGGGTAAAAAAAAAGGGTCATCATTAGTTTAGAAGGCTTTATTTTAAAATATTATTAAGTTGTCCTAGCTGGTTTGACTCAGTGATTACAGCACTGGCCCGAGGACCAAAGGGTCCCAGATTCGATCCCCAGTCTCTGTCAGGGTTATGCGGGAGGCAACCAATTGATGGCTGCCTCTGCCTGCCACCTCCCTCATCTATCTATCTATCTATCTATCTATCTATCTATCTATCTATCTATCTAAAAAATCTATGGAAAAATATCCTCGGGTAAGGATTCAAAAAATTAATTAATTAAATAAATATTAGTAGGTAGACTTTTTTTTAAATCTTTCTGATCAGGTACTAAAGAGATAAAGTCATTTAAATGTAATCTGAGACACATTATCAACAAAGAAACAAGAATAGTCTTTTATATTGTCATTAATCTTAAGAGCAGAACAACCATATTTTTAGGATGGTGTGACCTGAGGCAAGAAATTACTTAATTAGATTATTGATTATACTAAGTTCTGTGGTTCTATAAAACAACAAGAAACCTTTCCCCCTTTTAGAGATTTATAATATAGTCATTGTTAAATAAATAATGCGATACAATTCCCACCTGATCATCATCTTCTACCACCACCAGGGTTAATTTAGTCTTCTTAAAATCCAGTCTGGTTATCTTGGGCCTGTAACAATATGAGAATAATAGCCAGATTTCAAATAAATTTCCTCTAAATTAATCATCTAACTTCTGAATAGAAACCTGGTAAGGGTAAAATAAACATAATCTGCACTACCCATCAAGAAGGCCTCCAATCTAAAAAATAGTTAATAGAAAAAAAAAAGTAATACCTTTAACAAAATTGATGTTAAACATTTATCAAGCATTTAAAATGTTAAGGAGCCCTGGCTGGGTGGCTCAGTTAGTTGGAGCATCATCCTATCCACCGAAAGGTTGAGGGTTAAATTCTCAGTCAGGGCACCTACATAGGTTGAAGGTTCCATCCCCAGTTGGGGTGAGTACAGGCGCAACCAAATCATCATTTCTCTCACACATCGGTGTTTCTCTCTCTCCCCCTTCCTCTCTCTCTAAAATGAATAAAAACATATCTTCAGGTGAAGACAAAAAAAATGTTAAGGAAATAAATGAAGAAATCCATAAAAAGATTTCATAGGCCCCCAACTATGATATAAGAAGAGATTCTCCAGGCCTAATGTCTAAGCAGCAACACAGGAAAGACGGATAGAGGAAAGACTATAAAGCTTTTTAAAAGGCACAAAGGAAAACAAATTATTGTTTAGGGTCGTCAACTCGATTTTTTACAGCAAGTTTGAGGAAATACAGCTTTAATTTAAAAAGAACTGAATAGACCACTTTCCAACTCTCTCCCACATGTACTAAAATCCTGAACAACCTACCACATTTGGACTCTGTACTTCTATAAACTGAAATTTGTCAAAACAATGTAACACTCAATAACTTTTTTATATAACTTATGTAAAATATAATTGTAAAACACAGCTTGTTTACAAAAGCTGTACTAAAACAGTAAATTTAATAGGGTGGAGGAGAGGGAAGGACCTAGCACTTATTTAAATGTAACCAATACTTACATAATGCCTACTAAATATCAGGCACTCTTCTAAATGTATGAATTCAATTCATTCTCACAACAATCTATGAGGTGGTACAAAAGATGCTCTCTTTATATCTCTGCCTAGAGCATTTTCTGGCCACGAAGCATATCCCATCTGCCCACAAGGCAAGGTGGAAATGTCAAAGAATTAACACTCAAGGACTGGTTAAATAAATACCCCAGGCTTTCTCACCCAGAGAGGGATAATTACAAACATTTCCGCTCAAGTCTCTCAGAGAATCCCTAGCAGGGACACCTGGATCCAAAAACAAATGAAACACTATCTTCAACTTTTTAAGTGAAAGTAATTTTCAACCTAAAACTCAATTCTTGGCTCAATTATCAACAAAGTATAAGAGAAGACTACACCATTTTAAGGCATCCAAGGATTCAAATAATTTACCTCCCAGGCTCCGTTTTCAGGCAGTTACGTGTGTGTGTGTGTGTGTGTGTGTGTAGAATCAGAATATATATAGAATCAGAATAAACAAAAGCAAAGAAAGAAAAATATGGGAAGACACAGAATCCTAGCCAAGAAACAAAATGGAAGCCCCAAGATAAAAGCTGTAGAGCAGCTTGGGGAGGAAACAGTTCCCATTGAAGTAGAAGAATCATTTCCTATAACCCTTGAGAATTTGAAAGAACTTAAGGAGAACACAAAGACAGGCAATTTAAAGGGATGTGTGTGGTGCTGTTCAAGACACTGGAGGAGGGGAGCCAAAGGCTCTAGGTGAAACAAAAAGATATATGGAAAGGAAATGTAATCCCAGTTGTGAGTTCAAGGATTTCGGGTTGATCAGGATAGACAGAGATAGCAGTATTGCACAATGAGCTTTATTGAGAGGTGTTTGGACTGGGTTGCATGAGAGGAAGCCCTTCACAGCAAGAGAACATCCGAAGACAAATGGCACAGAATCACCACCTAGAAGGGAAAGAGGGCATGGGAACTGCCAGAAGAGAGAGGAATCAGAGGGGTTTATGTATTTAGGCAATGGCATTCAGAGCAAGGGGAGAGTCTCTGGGTCAGAGAGCTCTGAAGAGCAGTAGTGGCTTGGAATCATTTATAGCTACAAGATTTCTTTTCTTTTCTTTTTTTTTTTATCCTCACCTGAGGACACTTCTTCCATTTTTTGTTCAGACATAGTAGGAGGGAGAGAGGAAGAGAGAGAGAGAGAAACATCGACGTGAAAGGGACACATCGAGTGGCTGTCATCCACACAACCCAACCAGGGCCGGGGACAAACTGCAACTGAGGCATGCACCCCTGGCAGGAACTGAACCCGGGTCTCTCCGGACCACAGGCCAACGCTCCAACCACTGAGCCAAACAACCCAGGGCACTACAAGATTTCTTATCTATGGCTAGCAGTTTTCAGTGGGATACGCAAACAAGACAGGTTCTAAATGGCTAAAAATATACTTATTGGGCTACATGGAAAGCAAATGGATATGTAAGAATTTGAGTTTGGTGCTGGTGGGCTTTGAGCTAACAGTCCTCACACCCTGTGAAGAAATGAACAACATACGGGCCAATATACAGGGGCCATCTTCAGCCACATTTATAACACCAATACACTGCTAAAGTCTGTGACACTTATGACACAGACATAATAAGGTAAACATTATTTCCTGATTTTCAACATTTAGAACCAACCATAAAAAACCTGAAGGACTTAATTATGATTATGAAATTGAAGTTATATCTATATTTAATGGAAAATGCAAATACACAGGGGTGGGCAACAGTAGGTTTACAGTTGTTCATAGGAAAAAGACATGAAGGTTATGAATATTATAATAGCTTTATTAACTCTGTGTTTCAAATATTCACAACTGTAAGCTACTTTTGCCCACCCCTGTAATTTAAAAGTTTGAATGCTAGAAGTTGGGACACAGAAAGAGAAGCAGGAGACATAAAAGTATTAATAGCTTCCTCTCACACAATAAGGAGTAGGGTGTAAAAAGATTGTCTGTAAAACAAGAAATACTAAAAACAGTGACATTGAGACAGGATAGTAAAAAACTAGGAAAATTCCTTGGCAAGTAGAATGGGGAAACTGAGACAAATAGCTGAACAAACTGGCTGAGCAATTCACAGCCAGATACAGGTCACCTCCCTACAGATAACATCTAGGCCTCAGTTATAGTTCAGGTCCAGGCCCTGAAAAGCAACAAAACCAGGTGGGCTATGCCAGGTCCAGCAGCAATGACTAATGGACCCCCTGCCCTGGTGGTGACCAATCATTATAGACCATGAAAGGGCACAACTGGAAAAACTGATGAATGGAGCTCCCTCTAACACCTCCCCTAAACTCCCAGCTTTTAAATATTCTCAAAACAAAGGAACCAGCAAGCGCTCTCCCTCCCAGGAGCACCCCTGCACATTTCCTTTCCCACTCTTCTTCCCCTACAGGCATGTATCTCCTAAACATTAAGGTTCCTCACAAGACTTGCAACCAGGGAAGCAATGGGCAGTGGCAGCTTGTCCCAGGCTAACCTACTGAACCTGTCTCCAAAGCCCTCTTTTCTGACTTCTCAGTAGGCCAAAGCAGCCCCGCCTAAGCTCTCCTATTGCTTCTTGATCCTTAGCTCTTCCTTGTTTCACTGTCCCCAGCTTTAATTAATGTTCTATCAAAATCACCTGGACTTGTGTTGTGAACTCTTTCCTGCATGAAGTCAAGAACCCATACACTACGAGCTAGCTCCAGACAGATCCATTAAGGCCCAGGTCCCCTTTCCTGTAACAACATAACTACATGACCACAGTGAGTGCCCATGTGAACATTTTTAAATATAGAAATACATAATATATACATTAAAACACGTATTTTGATATGCCTTGAAACTAATGGAAAATATGGTTTTAAAAACCGCCTCGTGGAGTGGGACTAAAGATGAGTAGGACTATGATGGAAGAGAGTTTCAATTCATTTATAAACTTTTCAGAACTATTTGAATTCCAAATACTATTTTATGTATTAACTTCATATAAATGTTTTTACACATTAAAAACAAAACAACAGCCCTGGCCAGTTTGGCTCAGCGGTTAGAGCATCGGTCTGCAGTCCAGAGAGACCTGGGTTCGGTTCCCACTAAGAGCACCAACTTCGGTTGCAGTTTGTCCCCAGCCCTGGTTGGGTCATGCGGGTGGCAGCCACTCGATGTGTCCGTTTCACGTCGATGTTTCTGTTTCTCTCTCTCTCCCTCCCTCCCACTGTCTCTCTCTCTCCCTCCCTCCCTCCCTCCCTCCCTCCCTCCCTCCCACTCTATCTGAACAAAAATATGGACAAGTGTCCTCAGGTGAGGATTTAAAAAAAAAACACAACAATAAATATCTTTGACATTAACTCTGCTTACCAAAAAAATAAGCCAATTTTGGTCTCTCCTTCAAACACAAGAACTCCTGTTGGGGTTAGTCCCAAACTATAGTCATTCCCGTCTCTAGCCTAATTTAAGAAAAACAAAATGTATTAGCTTTATTTGCATGAAACAGGCTTCACATTTTCACACAACCATTTAATTTTATTTTCACATTGAATTATATTCATTATATACAAATAATATTAATATGCAAGTTGTTTTCAACAATTAAGAGCATCCAAACCAACATTCTCAAGAAAATTAATGCATACATCTAGTTCAATGAACCACTAGTTTTAAGATATGTCTTCATTGAAAACAGTTATACTCCCACTACAGCAAAACCTCTTTCCAGATTCTTTCCATATTCTATTCACCAATAATTTTGAAAAAAACTGCCTTTCTGGGAAAATTTAGTTACTTAAACTAGATAACTTATATCACTACACAAGCTATCCTACAGCTTATCAAAGTGCTCTCAAGTTACAGATTTTCAACTTTGCTTCTTAAATTACTTTAATTTTTATAAAGCCTACTTAGCTTACATGATATAACATGATATGAAGTGAAAAATAAAAAGTGGTTTAAAATCTAAAAAAAAAACCACAACAGCTTAAAAGAACAGATACACTTTCTGGAAATTTTGGTTGTTTCTCTTCTTTCTTACATTATTTTTTTATATTCTTTATATGAGATTCTTATTCAGTATTTAATCTCAGCCTTTATAACTACACATCACAAGTACCCAAAGCTAGCCCATGCAAACTTCAGCTCTTTCACACTGAAAAATGTTATAGTCACCTTGTATCCTGAAGGAATACATTTTTTTTTTTTTTTTTTAATCCTCACCCGAGGACATTTTTGCATTTTTTGTTCAGACAGAGCGGGAGGGAGAGAGAGGAAGAGAGAGAGAGAGAAACATCGATGTGAAGGGACACATCGAGTGGTTGCCACCCGCACGACCAACCAGGGCCAGGGACAAACTGCAACCGAGGTACATGCCCTTAGCGGGAACCGAACCCGGGTCTCTCCGTACCGCAGGCCGACGCTCTAACCGCTGAGCCAAACCGGCCAGGGCAGGAATACATTTTTTAAAAGGCATCATAACACAGTGCTTACCTTGACCACATGCATATCAACCCCATACATTTCTAGCCACTTGGCTTTATTCAGGTAATTGGTTTCAGCTTGTGCTGGTGTCTGACCTCTGAAATAAAAAAATACTAATTTTTAAAATAATAATAAATATAAAATGAATGTTATAACAAGTATAGAAATAGAAGAAAACAAATATTATAATTCTATATGGTGATGTTAAAGAAAGTGTGATCAAGTATCAAGTAAGTACCTGTATTCCTTCCATTTCTCAAAAATAGCCAGCTCCATTTCTTCAGTCTGAATGGGCATGAACCTGAACTCAGATACGAGTTCAGGACTATGCTCAGCAAGATCATAGTCACCAAGTTCAGCTACAAACGTAAGTTTCACAAAGTTATATTTTGTTAACAATTTATTTCATGATAAATCTTTCTTCAAAACCAATTTTATTAATAAATATTGCTAGGATTAGAAAGAATCTTTATTCAACTACCAGGAATTCATAACCCAAACCACTCCCCAAAATAAATGTAGCTTACACTTATGACTTATATGTCTATACACATAAATCACGTATTTGTGAATGCTTAGCTTTTAAATACCTCTTTCTAGACTTCCACAGAGAAATACCTTTGACCTTATAATGAATAAACAAGAATATTTAGCAATACTAAATACTTAGCTAGCATCTGTTAAAAATCTAATATGCGAAGAATGTGACATCATCCTATACCACTATAAGATGTCCTCCTGGAATTTTAAATTATTAATCCTAAAGAAATAACAAAGAAGAATTGCCAAAAAAATTTTGAGGAAAGAAGGCAGTAGGGAAAAAACTGAACAATGCACAAACATTTATGTACTCATCTGTGGTTAGCTCTGAACTGTGGGTTTGGGGAAGAAGAAAAAACATTTGAATTTTCTATAGTTAAAAATGTTTTCCTTTAAAAGAAAATTTTACTCATCAAAAAATTTAAATATTTCCTCCCGGCTGGTATTGTTCAGTGGTTGATCGGCGACCCATGCACCAGGAGGTCGCTGGTTCGATTCCCAGTTAGGGCACATGCCCAGATTGTGGGCCGGATTCCCAGTGGGGGGCATGCAGGAGGCGGCCAATTGATGTTCTCTCTCATCAATGTTTCTATCTCTCTCTCCCTCTCCCTAAAATTAATAAAGAAAAATTAAAATAGTTCCATTTTTATAAAATAAATCTAGCTGTGGGGAAAATACATGAGAACTACATCATGATAATCATAAAAATGATAATATTATTTATTGAGCACCTACTCTACACACTGGACATAGTACAAATATATTGTCATTTAACTTCACAACCCTGACTATCACATTCTTTTATTGCTAAAGAAATTGGTCTTTTGTCTGAACCACAGTGACAAATCTGCTACATGTTGTTCAGGATATATACTAAAATGGTTCAGAAAAACGAACTTGAGAGTATGAGAAAAAGCTAATAAAAACGATTCTCATAAAATACAAAATCATTAAGAAACAAGCTCTTTTCATGAAAATGGAAGCAGTGCTTCAGCAAATGTATTCTTTTTTTTTTAAATCCTCACCCGAGGATATTTTTTACATTAATCTTCAGACAGAGCTGGAGGGAGAGAGGTAGAAATAGAGAAACATCAACATGAGAGACACATCAATTGGTTGCCACCTGCATAACCCCAACCGGGGCTGGGGACGAACCACAACCAAGGCACGTGTCCTTGTCTGGAATCGAACCCAGGACTCTTTGGTCTGTGGGTGACGTTCTTACTGCTGAGCCATACTGACCAGGGCAGCAAATTTATTCTTAAGGAACTTAAGAATTAATAGGATTTGGTAAACTATTAGACAGGGGACAAAGAGATGATAAGGACAAAACATAAAATTTGGAGGAATTCAAAATAATAGTGCTATAGATGAAAAGATCAAGTAAGAAAGAAATTTTATTTAGGAAAAAATATATAAAGTAAAGAGATAGTGTAACAATCACATGCACAAATCAAACAGTAAGTATTTACTGAGCACTACTCTGAATAGTGGTTTGTTAAATACACAAAAATGTATAAAAACTTATTTTCAAGAAGCATTTCAAAGAAACATACTTTGCCTGTCATGAAAATTACACAATGAAACAAAGACAGACTATATGACACAATATATGGCATAACAGATATTGAAAATGACAGCTTTCCAGATCAAAAAAAAATTTTAGAATTAATAAAATTTTAAATATGTGCTTTCAAGAAAGATGCATGCAATTATATACTTCTGATCATTACAATCTGGAAGCATAGCATTTCCAAACTAGTTATCAACTTGATATTCTGAAGATGAGAAAAGTTTTAATTTGTAGACTAGGACGGCAGATGGAGACGGGTAGATAATTTATACTAGTGGCAAATTTTTGAAGTACAGAAATTTCATCCATTCATCAATCCCTCTAATCAACAGAAAAATATACTTTCTTAAATAGTGGAAGCACAAAATAAGCAAAACATTAGGTTTACCATAAAATGATAAAAGTTTAGCCCTGGCCAGTTTGGCTCAGCGGTTAGAGCGTCGGCCTGCGGTCCTGAGACCCGGGTTCGGTTCCTGCTAAGGGCACGTACTTCGGTTGCAGTTTGTCCCCAGCCCTGGTTGGTCGTGCGGGTGGCAGCCACTCGATGTGTCCCTTCGCATCGATGTTTCTCTCTCTCTCTCCCTTCCTCTCTCTCCCTCCCACTCTATCTGTACAAAAAATGGAAAAATATCCTCAGGTGAGAATAAAAAAAAAAAAAAAAACACATTAAAAAAAAAATGATAAAAGTTTAATCTTATTGTCTATACAATGGCAAATAAATACTACTGATCTTAGAGGGATTGGGGATAAATATTGAATCGCCCCTCCCCCCAAAAGCATAAAATTATGATGAGAATATTTACTTCCATTTTGTGAACAAGGACTGAAATTAGTATTAAAATTTCAGTTTTTTAAAAGAAAATTCCCAAGTTCAACAGTGTGTGATCAATGTAACAAGGTACAAGATCTGAGTTTTTCATTACTCTCATTCACTGAGAAAACTTTTTTATTCTTTAGAGGTTTTTTTACTTTATTGATCTTTAAATTTTTTTTCTTTATTGATTTTTAGAGTGAGAGGACAGGAGAAGGAGAGAGAGAGAGAGACAGAAATGTTGATGAGAGAGAATATTGATTTGCTGCCTCCTGCATGCCCCTCCTTGGGGAGCAGGCCCACAACCTGCACATGTGCTCTGACCTAGAATTGAACCGGTGACCTTCTAGTGCATGGGTCAATGCTCAACCACTGAACCACAGGGCTGAGCCACTATTTTATTCTTAAAATAACCATCAGGAACTTTTAAATACATGCTAAGTATTTCTTTCATGGATTTGTTCTTAAGAATAATGCTAAAAGCAAACCATGTGGCTATAGCAACTTACTAATATATAACTGTGCTTTTTTTTATTTATTCATTCCTCACCGAGGATATTTTTCACTTATTATTAGATAGAGTGGGAGGAAGGGAGAGAGAGAGAGACAGAAACATCGATGTGATAGATCCACACCAACTGGTTGCCTCCTGCATTGTACGACCCGGGGACAAACCGCAACCGAGGTATGTGCCCCCTGACCAGAATCGAACCTGTGACTCATTGGTCGCGGGCCACATTCCAACTGCTGAGCCAAACTGGCCAGAACTATAACTGTGTTCTTTTTTAAGGAAAAAATTAGCTGAGGGCCAATTATAACATTTATTGAGTTATCACGTAGACTGCAACATTTGTTTGAAAATACTATAGACAGAAAAAGAACACTATAAACAGAAAAATAAGTGAAAGGGAAGAAAAAAAAAAGAGGCAATGTTCTAAAACAAGTGAAAGTAAAGTCAGAGTTGGATATTGATACAAATTTACACAAATACAGTGCTGCTTCTTCGGCTGTGAACCAGAGTGTCCCAGGTTCGGTTCCCGCTAAGGGCATGTACCTTGGTTGCAGTATGTCCCCAGCCCTGGTTGGGGTTGTGTGGGTGGCAATCACTCGATGTGTCTCTCTCACGTTGATGTTTCTCTCTCTCTCTTCTGCCCTCTCTCCCTCCCGCTCTATCTCAAGATAAAAATGCAAAAATGTCCTTGGGATAAAAAACAAAACAAAACAGTGCTGCTTCTCATCTTGCATTATCACCTGAATCTTTTGAAATTCTTTAAACACACACTGAAAGAGTTATGCTTTACTCCCAATAATCAACATAAGAATTATTTACCTTGCAGATTATAAGCTGCCAACTGAACTGCTGTATCAAAGGGGCACTCCAATCTGAGATAAAACACAAATTGGTTAAACAACTTCACAATCTTCAGTTTAATTAATTATACCTTATTTTTCAAAAACATTTTTCAACTACTTAAGAAAATGTGGTTTACCTTAAGCAACTAATACTCACTTTCCACTGAGAATATCTTGTTTTAATTGAAGAACGAATAAATACCTAAAGAAAACAAAAAGCACAAATTTAACTAAAAGAAAATTTGTAAAAATAATCTTACCCTTCTAATGTGAGAAGAAACATTCTTAATTGTAGAACTTTACCCACAATAAAGTCTATAAAAGAAAAAAATTAGAAAAAGAGGGCAATAAGCATCAGGATGGTAGCATGTCTGCAAGATAATAGCAAGATATAGCAGGCCCAGAGTACATACAATAGACAGAAAATGTTTAAGGCAAATTACTGAGAATGAGCTCTGTGAGCTGATTTAACTTTACTCTGACAAGGCAGCCACCTCATATGTGAAGGGATAACACCAAGCATATAAATGTGGATAAAAGCTATAATCTCACTGGCCAAGTAATCAAGAGCAAAGCCCTTCTGAAGGGACTCAGTAACTAATCTATATTTTTAATCCTCACCTAAGGATATTTTTCCATTGCTTTTTAGATAGCGTGGAAGGGAGAGAGGAAGAGAAAGAGAGAGACACATGGACTGATTGCCTCCCGCACGACCCTCACCAGGGCCGGGGATCAACCCTGCAACCCAGGTACATGCCCTTGACTGGGAATCAAACCCTTCAGTCTGCGGGCTGACACTCTTAACTACTGAGCCAAACTGGCCAGAGCACAACTCAGTCTTTTACTTAATAGTATGTGGCATGCATAATGCATTTTCAATATCATCCATGAATAAATACCAGCAGGGCAGAAAAAAGTAAAAATAGGTGTATATATAACCTACTTAAAGTTTATTCAAAACTATTTGAACCAAATCAAAATCTAACATTCTTTATTAATCAATGGCATTTCAATAAGTAAAGAAAATCAGGAGCCAACCTGAATAAACTCCTAGTAGCCAAAGATAGATAATTTTAAACATCAATAAACATGGCAATGTATTTAAACACATCAGCCCTGTTAAAAATCCATGAGTTGATAATGATACTGAAAAAAACAGTATTCACTAGTTATCTTTGGAGGATGCTAGGGAACCACGTCTTTATTTTGAAAACTGATAAAGGAACAGAATCCTACATTTACAAAGCACTGTCCCAAAATGAATTTCTATTGTCTGAGGTCTTGTTATGAGGGGTAAGGAATTCATTTCATTAGCTGTCTATACCGGAAAGCATTAGGGACAACATTCCAACATTTTAGCTAGCTTGAACAAACTTTACCCACGTACAACTCTGGATAGTGGTCTTACCGGGTTAGCTCTTCACGAAGATTATTTGGTTCTGAGGAATAAAACTTAACTCGAAAATGCAGACAATAGGGTGAACCAACTGCCATTAAAAAACAAAACAAAACAAAAAAAACTTTAATTTTTTTGTAACTACAGTCAGTAAATTTGTCAAAATCCACTGCACTGGGGACAAAAGATAACAGGTTATTGTAGCAACCTCAGTTTACACTGTAGGCTTGATTTAACCTAACACAAAAAGATTAATCAATAGTTTCTTTTAACTGTACCAACCATTATATAGTACTATCCTCCTAAGAATAAATAGCTCTAAATTAATTCTAACAGTTCAGAGACAAATGTATAAAATAAAAAAAAGTTCTGACTGCAATCTAACAGCCCTAACAATCTGAGAAGTTGTATTCCTTGAAGCACAGAGTATATTTATGTTATTGCTTGTTCATGGCAAATCCTCCCACACACTTTCCAATTCACTGCACCTACTTTGTTAACCTCTATATTTTCAGTGGTTCCACTATTTTGTAAAGACAAGAGCTGAAGTGCCCTGAAATCTGTTACTACTCAGGAAAAGGTGTACTACGGACTGAACATTGGTATTTTCTCAACTACTGATAGGAATAATACTGACATTTTATGTGAATTGCTTCTTTTCACTGTTCTTAATTTTTTTTAAGTTGCAACCTTAAAGTCTCAGAATATTTTCCAGAGTTGGCCTGATGCCAAACAAGAAAATTCCAACATAAAAAATTACTAAATAGAAGTTAAGCATCTCGTGGGAATTCAATTTCATTTGTAAGCTGCAAGGCTTTCTCCAGGAAACAAACTTTTAGGCATTTCAATCTAATTACCATCAACCCTATATAATTTAGGATAGGTATACTGGATTGAAATCATGTTAAGAAAGTAGAGATGCTAAGAAATTCATCTGAAACATGATTTCTTAGATCTTTACTTCTGGTATTAATTATTAATATATAATCATATATAATTCAATTTCTATTTTTTCACTTTTTTTCAACACTTACTTTTTACTTGCTTTTTGATACTCTTTGTAACATCCAACCAATGCTGAAAAAAAACATAAATTCAGTTGTTAAGCAGATGACAGAACATTTTAATTACTAAAAGTTAATTCTGATCATGCTTTTACTGATAACCACAAGGAAATATTTCACAAGAGAATAAAGAGTGAAAATGAAAGGGAGGGTTATCTACCCAATATCCACAGAATAGAGATGAGCAAAAAAAGACCTAAAACCAGATATATGACTTCTAAAATATTACCTTTACTCTCTCAGTAGCAATGATGATATTCTAAATTTTGCCCTTACTTCTCAAAAAAGACTCACAACTGTTAAAAATAGAAGAAAAGTATCTTCATATTGCATATTCTTATAATAAAAATGTAAGATTTATAAACAGTTCATAACCCCAAATTAGGTGAATAACAATGCCACTTATATTTTACAAAATAGATACTACTCAGAAGAGTCTGCACAATAAAATTTGATTTTTCTCATAAACAAGGCCATATCTATTAAATGAAGCAGTTTTTGCCACTTTGTTTAACACATAAAAAATGTTAACATTGTGACTAGCATATTTCTGGTTTCATGAGTAACAGCCATTTGATTTCTGTAACCTTATCACTCTGAAAGGTCCATAATACAAACAGACCAAAGAACCAATTCCAGAGACTTCCACTGATAAACCAAACCATTCCCAGTTCACTTCTCTTTATTAATCCCTTTACACCACCAAGTTCTAACAGTGCCAGGATGCACTCATCCAATTAAGATATACATAACAGTGTTCTCTTCAGTGTGCTTACAATTCCAAGCACCCTAAAGAAAAAGAGTGCTCTTGTGCTAACTAGTTCACAGAGCTAAGGAATCCAGTTTCAGAAATCCAGATAGACAAAGAGTGGGTAAACAAGGCTGCATTGTGAATAGACTTGTAACCATGTGCTTTTCTTGCCAATTATTTGCCCTGGCCTCTTCGCATTCTCTCCCAAGATCCAAAAGTAAAATTCACAGAACTACCAGTATGCCAGCAAAGAATCTCTGCACGCTGAAATAAGATGGTCAGTAAACATTTTTAAAGGCAATTAAATACTGTGCAATATTTTCTCTGGATTCCAGGCTACTTAGTCATCTCTCATATTCAGTTGGACATCCACATTTAACCATATTTCAATCTAACAAATGTTGAGTTTACAAAGACCCCTATCAATCAGCAGAAAAGAAAATCTATTAGCAAAAATTCCATCCATTGTGGCCAAGCCAAACAACCCAATATGCAAAAATCCCATATTTAACTGAGCAAAATAATTAGTTTCCATGACCCAGATTGTTTTCTCCCCACAAGCATGGATCTAGTTGTTGCCCTATCTTCAGGTTTTACCTACTGTACTGCAATGAATTAACAATTCTACAGCTAGTCACCTGGGCAGTCTCTTATAGCCATGCTTAGGGAGACTCTCATGCACCATAATAAGTACAAATGAGCACAACCCTTCCAGGAGGTAATCTGACAATGTCTTAAGAAAAATCATTTTGGGTGTGTGCTGATTTACCTACAAGGAATTATTACATCAGAGAAAGTTAAAACAATATATATTTCCAACAACAGAAAACTGTCTAAAGTATTGCAAGATGAAAGAACTCCATGCAACAATTAAAATGAACAAAAGCAAATACTTAAGATTCTGGGAAATTACAATATGGTGTTACATTTTAAAAGGCAAAATATAAAATATTATAAATTATTTTGTCAAAAGGTACAAATTTATATATATAGACATGCATCTTCTTTTGAACTGAGACAATCTATAGACAATAGATTTTGTTATAGACAATCTATAACAAAACAGTAACAGATATTATCTAGGTGAGATGTTTTCTTCTTTGTTGTTTCCTATATTTTCAACTTAACTCTACCAAGAGCACACATTACTTTAAAACAATCATCATGGAGCCCCTTATTTTAATATTCTATATAACCAATTTTTTGGTAATATTAAAAGGTCAACAGTCCCTTCAACCTCTGCAATAAGCCATCTGCCTCTTATACTTAATTTCTATTATCACACTCACAAACATACCCCCCAAGGTGTTACTAGTTTCTGATTCTTTCCAGGGTTTCTTCAAACAGGAAAGGAAAAAAAAAATGTGTATTTATGCTGGTAAAGAGCAAAGAACATTAACAACAAACTGAAAATCAATAGGCTAAATATAAATTTTGACAAAATAAACTTTGAGAATGTAAAGAAAAAACATTAATACAGGACAAACCACTTACTATTTCAAGAACAACCTAAGCCTTCTGAGACAGGTATAACTTAAATTTTATCCAGTTTAAGAAATTTAGGGCTAGTCTCATAAATACTCCTTAAATATCTAGTTTGTTCCCTATTATTCTAAGAAGCACATTAAACATAAAATCATCCCAGTGAGATAAAGGATCAGAGTTTTTTCCCAAGTAGGCATTTTAGTCTCTTTTCTACCTGCATATAACAACTTTTTAATATCTGGCACATTCTTAAGACAACCCAAAATTCAAATAAAGAGTGAAGTACATTTTAAAGTGAAATTTAGGAGCTGGGGGAGTTCTGGGTGATGTTCTGCTGGGGAAGGTCTGAGATCATGTTTGTATATTCTCAAGTCTGTTTTCTTTCATCTCCTCCACATTCCAAGCCCAGGGACTAGAAAATTCAGAGCTCAGAGACAGGCACAGATAGTGGTTTTCCTTGATTCAGGATCTTTAGGAGTTGGGTTTAAATTACATTAGAAGATAAAGATGAGAGCACATAGATACAAAGTCTTGGATATTTAGTATAAAACTAATATGGTTCTCTTTGCTCATAGTACTTTAAAAAGGAAACAAACTTCCTTCTAATGTCCTACTTTTAAAATTTGGTTGATAAACTCATATATCAAAAGATGTAGAAAGCTACATTTCTTTTGATGCTATTAAGCTAGGCATGAAAGAACACTTATTTACTTGTATGTTGTAAAATATAAATAACATACAATCACAAATACAACAGACACAACTAAAACAAACAAAGAATCACCTAGGGAGGTTCCAAAACACTAACATACACACATCTTCATCTCAGCCCTACTACCAAACAGTCTGTAAACAGCTCTTCAAATGGAATATTTGACTTCCTACATTACTCTGCTAAAGAAAAGTACCTTTTTTTTGCTCAAAGAGCAAAGACCTTAAGGCAAAGAAATGTTAGTCATCTTTGAAAACAATTGCTTCTGCAAAAAATATTTCTCCTGTGAGAAAACAAGGCTTATGCTCTGAATTAAAAGATTTGTTTAAAGCAAATTTTAACATTTTAAACCACTAACAAAATGTTTTCAAAAATCTATACTATGAAAACAGAGGACCCACAGATTGCATTGCTATAATGTAACTGAACACACTTCAATTTAGTCTAGCTTCCATTATAAATTCATTCTGGGTAATTACTGTTTTGGCTTTAACAGTCTGTGTTATAAGACATGCCAAATGAAGACTTACATGAGCCATTAAAATATATTTTCTACTGTGCCTTTCTGTCTAGTATACACTCTTAGGATTCTTGTGGAAATGTAAGCAAGTTAGGTAGGATATACAGTCACTCTCCAAAAATAGAGCACAAAGTCTACTTTGGAAATACCATTTTCAGAGTTCCTCCTTATTTAGCAAATGTGTGTGTTACCATATATACATATATATTTAACATATACGTATTTATTTCTATATCTTTTTCATTTCCCACTACTTTACTGAATCCTATTGTTTGTGTTAAATTCTCAGCTATAATCCAACCCAATCACCTCCCAACAGTGATAATTTTATCTCCTCCTTTCTAACCTTTGTAACTTCAATTAATTGCATTTGCTGGTACTACTATTATGAAATTAAACAGCAGTGGTAACAATGAGCATCTTTGTCACTTTTCTGTTTTTAGTATGAATGCTTCTATTGTTTCTCTATTAACCTACAATGTTTTTTGTTTTTTAATTAAAAATCAGGCCCTGGCCAGTCTGGCTCAGCGGTTGGAGCATCAGCCTATGGACCAGAGAGTCCTGGGTTCAGTTCCCGCTAGGGGCACGTACCAAAAAAAAAAATTAAAAATCAGTATACAAAGAGAGCACAACCACTGAGCAACCACCAGATCTGTTCTACAAAGATGCTACCTGTTGGGCCATCTGTCTGCCCATACCCACCACCACTCCTGAATATAGGGGTACACCTTCCAAAGGTTGGCCAGACCTATATACCGAAATGTCAATTCCATACAGGTCAAAGTCCATTAGATTTATTCCAAGTGTTATGGGGCTAGGAAGAAAGGGCTCAACTGGCCACAAAAAAACACATGATCAGGTGTGGCTGGTTTAGCTCAGCAGACCATAGAGTCATGGGTTTGATTCCAGTCAAGGGCACATGTCTCAGTTGTGGTTTGGTCCCCAGTCTTGGCCGGGGTCATGCGTGAGGCAACCAGTTGATGTGTCTCTGTCTCTGTCTCTCTCTCTCTCCGCCCAGCTTTGTCCATCCCTCCCTCCCTCCCACTTTATCTAAAAATAAATGAAAAAAAATATCCTCAGATAAGAATTAAAAAACACGTGATCAGAATTCTAGAGTAGAGTATTACTATCTACTGAACCTCAGATAAATGAGGTCAGCAAGCCAAATGCAGCTTACCACATCGTGCCTACAGTACCTGAAATAGCTAAATTCTAAAATTGTTATAAGAATTGCTTCTTACCTTAGCTCAACAGTCTTGGATTTCCTATGGAGGGGATCCTCCCAGTATGCACTTACAAAGCATTTACCCAATGTTCCACTAGACAATTAAGTATTTTCTAGCTCTCAGTTTTGGATCTAACATCTCCATTTCTATTAGTGTTGAATTTTTCTTTAAACTAAAGGCCATAAACTTCAACTAATCAAGTTACTCATCTTACTTTCTAAAGATTTTAGTTTCAATCTTGTTGAATGCAGTTTCACTTAAGTATACAATAAATGAAGGGTTAGTTAACCTGTTCAGAATTGGCACACATCACATTAACTCACATTCATGGCCAAAAGCAAGCCACTTGGCCAAACCTGATATCAACTGAGCAAGAAAGTATAATCCCATTATCAGCAAAGACAAGAAACAATTCCATGATATACCATATAGAATAAATTATATCAATTAATTCCTGGCCAGTTTCACTCAGCAGTTAGAGTATCGGCCACTGGACTGAAGGGTCGTGGATGCGATTCCTGGTCAAGGGCACATACCTGGATTGCAAATTCAATCCCCGGACAGGGTTGTACAGGAGGCAACCAATTAATGTCTCTCTCTCTCTCTCTCTCTCTCTCTCTCTCACACATTGATGTTTCTCTCTCTCTCCTTCCCTCCCTTCTACTCAAAATCCATGGAAAAATATCCTCAAGTCAACTGATACTTAATTATCTTTACATTTCTGAGAATAAATTCCACCTGATTATAATGTATTATTTATATTTTCAATAGGTGGCTGACATTTTATTTTGAATTTTTACATAGAAAACAAGGAAAGTTTAAAATACACATATAAAACAAACCAATATAGGCTATCAAGTCATTTTGAGAAAAAAGTAAAATATAATTACTACTGACATGTTAAGTTCTTTTTCCTTCTTTTCCAAGTATTAGGATAAATAAAACCTATGTTTCCCTTTTTGAAACATTAAGTATCTACACATTTTATAATTCATTCTTCTTTAAAAACCAGATTGGACTAGTTAAAATTCTAATCTCTACATATGAAGTTTGAAAAACTTCACCAAGCAGAAGTCAGAAACATATAGGTCAAAGGGCTGAATCTTGGCCTAGAGTCATGTTTTATTTGGCCCACACTATATTTTTTATTTCTTTACATTTATTACAAAATATTCACAGAAAGTTGCAAGAGGTCCCGTGTACACTTCCCCACCGTTCCCCCAATGATTATATCTTGCCTAACTATAGCACACTATTAATATCAAGAAACTGACATTGGTACAATGTGTACACAGTAAGTCCCCACTTAACATTGTTGACAGGTTCTCGGAAACTACAACTTTAAGCAAAATAACGTATAACAAAACCAATTTTACCATATGCTGAATGATATAAATAAGAGTTAAGTTCCACCCTGACCAGTTTGGCTCAGCGGTTAGAGCGTTGGCGGGCGGACCAGAAGGACCCGGGTTCCGTTCCCACTAAGGGTATGTACCTCGGTTGCAGTTTGTTCCCAGCCCCAGCTGGGGTTGTGTGAGTGGCAACCAGTCGATGTGGGTGGCACATAGATGTTTCTCTCTATCTCTCTCTTTCTCCCTCCTGCTCTATCTGAAGATAAATACAAAAATGTCCTCGGGTTCCTCGGCTGAGGATTAAAAAACAAAAACAAAACAGAGTTAAGTTCTGCCCTGGCCAGTGTAGCTCAATGGTTAGAGTGTCAACCCCTGGACCAAAGGGCCAAGGGCCAAGGGCACGTACTTCGGTTTCAGGGGTTTGATCCCCAGCTCTGGTCTGGGCACATGCAACAGGCAGCCAATCGATGTTTCTCTCTTTCCCTTTCCCTCCCCACCCCCACCATCTCCCTCCCTTCTACTCTCTAAAAAAAATATCAATGGAAAAAATATCTTTGGGTGCAGATTAAAAAAAAAAAAAAACATTTAGTTAATACGGCATCTTTCTGATCATAAAAACACCACCAAACTAACTAACTAAAGACACAAAACACTTCTAATGTCAAACATTTAAGTAAATGTAAGCTATATACACACTTATCAAAGATAAATAAAAACACATAAGATAATTATTTTCCAACATGCTCATGCTTATTCCAGTTCAGGATTGCAGGTGGCAGCAGCCTGTCGTGGCTACTCAAGGTGGGATCCCACCAGGACAGAATGTGCTCACACACACACACACTCACTCAGTCTGGGACAATGTAAACACACCAATTCATCTGACACCAATTCACCCAACTTGCACATCTTGAGGCTGTGAAAGGTAACAGCAGTCCCCGGAGAAAACCCATGCAGACTTAGGGAGAACATGCAAACTGCACACAGACAGTGGCCCTGGCCAAAAATTGTTTTTTCTCATCAATGTTAGAATAAAACAACGTTGAATGAAATGACATTATCCAAGGACTTGCTGTATATAGTTCTACGTCATTTTATCACACATTTAGATTCCTGAAACTAACACCACAATCAAGATAAATAAATATCCCACTATCACAAAGAGCTCTCTCACACTACTCCTTTATAGTCATACCCACCTCCTATCTCCAATATCCTTAAACCTTGGCAAGCATTAATTTGATCTCTATCTCTATAATTTTGCAATTTCAAGAATGTTATATAAATGGAATCAAATCACACAGTATGTGACATTTTGATATTGGCTGATTTCACTCAGCATAATGCCCTTGAAATCCATCCAAGTTGTACATCAATAGATTTTTCTTTTCTATTAATGAGTAACAATCCATGGTATAAATGTGCCAGTTTCATTATTAACCTACTATAAGACATTCTGTTTTTTTCAAGGTTTTTGCTATTATAAATAAAGTTGCTACCACCCTGGCCAGTTTTGCTCAGTGGTTAGAGTGTCGGCTCACAGACTAAAGGGTCCAGGTTTGATTCCTGGACAAGGGCACATACCTGGGTTGCAGGATTGATCACCGGCCCTGGTCAGAGTTGATGTATCTCTCTCACATCAATGTTTCTCTCTCTCTCCCTTCCTTCCACTCTATCTACAAATCAATGGGAAAATATTCTTGGGTGAGGATTAATTAAAACAAACAAACGAATCAAAAAACAAAACAAAGTTGCTATGAACAATCATGCAAAGAAGTGTTTGTAAGAAAAGACGTCTTTATTTCTCTGGGGTAAATACCTAGGCATACAATTGCTGTCATAATGTAAGTGTATATTTAGCTCTTTTGCTGTTGTTTTTTTGTTGATCCTCACCTGAGGATATTTTTTCATTGATTTTTAGAGAAAGTGGAAGGGAGGGACGGAGGGAGGGGAAAAAAGAAAGAGAGAGAGAGAGAGAGAAAGAAACATCAATTCGTTTCCTCCTGAAAGTGCTCCAACAGGGTCCAGGGATTGAACATGCAACCTAGGTGCATGCCCTTGACCAGAAATCGAACCCAAGACCCATGGATTCGAATGCTGACACTCTAACCACTGAACCACAAGGGCCAGGGCTCCATTATAATCTTACAGAAACAATGTCATATATTTGGTCCATCAATGACTGATAATGTTGTTACGCAGTACATGACTACATTAAACTTCTGGTATTGTTTTGATGATACCACCACTAATTCACCTTCCAGTCTTACCTACTACTTTCTTTCAAATATCCTCAAGTTAAATCCTAATACAATACTCAGTTCTCTGAAAAGGTTCCAACTTCCTATCCTGTTACAAATTCTGTTCTCTCACCTGAAATGCACACATCAAAGAACTTATTTATAGATCCACACTCATAGATCTAGAAGGGATCTTAGGGAGGAATATCCTAGTCCACTCACCTTAATTTGCAAGTTGGAAACTTCTGTTGCTTATCTATAAAACTCTGGCATTCTTCACATTAGACAGTGTTTCTCCAGTTCTAATATCAGGGTTTGGGCTAGAACTCACTTTTTTTTTTTTTTTTTTTTTTAAACAAGTACACCATAATAATAAGAAAATTAAAGGGAAAAAGAACACATTAAGAATATCTACCATTGTAGCACTTAGCATGTTATCTGAAATTTTCCATTTCTACCCCCATAATGGAATCTCCCAAAAACAGCTACTCACTGCTACTTGTGCCGAATCCATAAATCTCAGTCCAAAATAGTCACTTTCAATAAGGTCCAAGTGGTATGTAATCTGATCAAACAGCTCTTGACCTTTGGCTTTTTTCTGAAATGGCAAGAAAATAAATGAATCAATAAGTGGCTTGTGGGGAGGGCAGAATCTGGGTGGAGGGGAACAAATGGAGGGGGAAATGGAAGACATCTGTGATAATGTCAACAAGAACAACAAAAAAAGTGGCTTGCAGTATCAACAAGCCTGAACTGAAGACGGTTTTAGTTATACAAGACCTCTTAAAAAAGAGCATTACTTGCAATAGTATTACCATGTGGTAGAAAAAGGGTAAGGTACTAGTTTTCCAAAACCACTGAAGGCCGAAAGAGAATTTGTGATCTCTATGTGCTCTTCTAGAGAACATTACTTCCTATCAAAATATTACTTTGTACCTAACAGTATGTGTAAGGAGAAATTCTTGTCAATTTTTACAGTGTCTACTTTAAAAAAGAGCTTTATAATGTAACTAGAAAAGAAAACACACAAGAAAACTTAGAACACGTAAATACGAATCATGTGGAACCAACCATATTTGTGAATAAATTGTGGATAGTCACAGAGACTAGAATTATCTGTGGACGCTTAAAGATGACCAACTGGAACCTGGAGAATAACAAATAAGGTAGAAATAACAAAAAGGGAAGGGGGGGATGGAATATGGGATGAGAAAACTACTATAATCAATGCACAAGACACCAAATTGGAGGAAAGAGGGCAATAGCAAAGAAACTTGTATAGAAAAAGGAGTTCTCAAAGTATGACCCCTGATGGTTCCCCAGATTGTTTCAAAAGATTCACAAGGCTACAGGATTCTCATGTACCTTAACCAAAACAACATATTGCAACCGAGTGAATGCAGAAGCAGATAACAGACTCTATGTCTTATTAAATTAAGTGTTTAAAGAGATTTACAAAAATGTGTACAATAATGCTTCTCTTCTCAATACATTCTTGTTTTTTAGTACAATAGTTATTTTTCATTAAAATATTACTTATGTTAATATACAAGGGGTATATTATTGCTATTTTTAAATTAAAAAATATTTTTTTAAAAGTTTTAATTTCTAATATGGTAACTATAGATAGATACAACCTTCATAAGAAAATGCTTTACGTATTAGGTTCCTATATTTTCAAATACTTTCATATACATCCAATCCATGCCCCTCCCCCTATATATTAAATTATGATTTAGGGTATTTCTTATAAATAAATATATAGATGTATCTTTTGTCATTGAGTCATTAATCTCTGCCTTTTAAATGACTTTATTAAAAGGCTAAGGGAATACTTAGCACCAAACCAGCACTGCAAAAAATGTTAAAAGGACTGCTGTAATTAGAAGAAAAAATAGGAAGAAAAACATAACCACACTAAACAAAAATGGCAATAAATAAGTACATATCAATAAGCACCTTAAATGAAAAAGGATTGAATGCTCCCATAAAAAGACACAGAATAGCTGATTGGATAAGAAAGCATGACTCATCTATATGTTGTTTCCAAGAGACCCAACCCACAACAAAAGACTCACAAAGGTTGAAAGTGAAGGGATGGAAAAAAATCTTCCAAGCAAACAAAAAGGAAAAAAAAGCTGGGGCAGCAATACTCATATCTGATAAAATAGATTAAAAAATGAAGGCCATAACTAGAGACAAAGAAGGCCAGCCACTACATAATATTGAAAGGATCTATCCAACAGGAAGATATAACCCTGATAAACATATATGCACCCATATAGGGGCACCACAGTATATTAAAAATCTTCAGGAGGACTTCAAAGGAGAAATCGACAGCAATACAATCATAGCAGGGGACTTCAACACCCCGCTGACATCACTGGATAGATCCTCTAGACAAAAAATTAGCAAGGAAACAGAGACTCTAAATGAAGCACTAGACCAAATGGATTTAATAGATACCTACAGAGAATTACACCCCAAAACTACAGAATTCACATTCTTCAAGTGCACATGGCACATTCTCAAAGACAGACCACACGTTAGGACACAAACTAAGTCTCTATTAAGTTCAAGAAGATTGAAATCACATCAAGCATCTTCTCAGATCACAATGGCATGAAACTAGAAAACAATTACAACAAGAACATGCAAAGACATTTGAACACATGGAGGCTAAATAGCATGTTATTAAACAATGAATGGGTTACCGAGGAGATCAAGGAAGAAATTAAAAACCTCCTGAAAACCAATGAAAATGAACACACAACAACACAAAATCTATGAGATACAGCAAAAGCAGTTCTGAGAGGGAAGTTCACAGTACTACAGGCCTACCTCAAGAAACAAGAAAAATTCTAATCGACTACCTAACCTCACAACTTAAGGAATTAGAAAGCAAACAAAAGAAAACCCCAGAGCAAGTAGAAGGAAAGAAATAGTAAAGATCAGAGCGGAAATAAATGACATAGAGTGCAAAAAAAAAAAAAAAATTTCAAAGGATCAATGAAACAAAGAGCTGGTTTTTCGAAAAGATAAACAAGATTGATGGACCCTTAGCTAGACTCACCAAGAAATCAAGAGAGAGAACCCAAATACACAAAATCAGAAATGAAAGAGAAGCAACAACTGACACTACAGAAATACAAAAAAAATCGTTAACAACTAGTATGAACAATTATATGGCAACAAATTCGACAATCTAAGCGAAATGGACAAATTTCTAGAAACACGTAGTCTCCCAAAACTGGACCTGGAAGAGATAGAAAACTTGAACAGACCAATAACAATTAAGGAAATTGAAGAGGTAATCAAGACTCTCCCAGCAAACAAAAGCCCAGGCCTAGATGGCTTTACATGGGAATTTTACCGAACATTCAAAGAAGAACTAACATCCATTCTCCTCAAACTATTTCAGAAAATTCAAGAAGAAGGAAGACTTCCAAATTTGTTTTATGAGGCCAGCATAATTCTAATTCCAAAATCAAAAAAAGACACTACAAAGAAAGAGAACTACAGGCCAATATCCCCAATGAACATAGATGCCAAAATCCTGAACAAAATACTAGCAAATTGAATCCAGCAATACATCAAAATAATTATTCACCATGACCAAGTGGGATTCATCCCAGGGATGCAAGGCTGGTATAATATTCGCAAATCAATAAATGTGATACACCACATAAATAAAATCAGTAAAAACCACATGATCATATCAATAGATGCTAAAAAAAGCATTCGACAAAATCCAGCATCCATTTCTAAGAAAAACACTCAGCAATGTGGGAACAGAGGGGTCATATCTCGACATAAATAAGGCCATATATGAAAGATCTACAGCCAACATCACACTCAATGGGCAAAAACTAAAAGCATTTCCCTTAAAAACAGGAACAAGACAGGGATGCCCACTTTTGCCACTCTTTATTTAACATAGTACTGGAAGTCTTAGCCACAGCAATCAGACTGGAAGTAAAAATAAAAGGGATCCAAATTGGAAAGGAGGAAGTGAAACTGTCATGATTTGCAGATGACATATTATTATACACAGAAAACCCTAAAGACTCCATCAAAAATCTACTAGACTTAATAAATGAATTTGGCAAAGTAGCAGGATACAAAATTAACGTCAAGAAATCGATGGCATTCTTATACACCAATGATGAACTCACAGAAACTGAAAAAACAATCCCATTTACCATCGCAGCAAAAAAATTAAGATACCTAGGAGTAAACTTAACCAAAGAAGTAAAGGACCTATTTGCAGAAAACTACAGGACATTGAAAAAAAGAAATAGAGGAAGATATAAAAAAGTGAAGGCACATACCTTGTTCATGGTTTGGAAGAATAAACATCAATAAAATGTTCATAATACCCAAAGCAATCTATAGATTCAATGCAATCCCCATCAAAATACCAACGACATTATTTCACAGAACTAGAACGAATACTTCAAAAGTACATATGGAACCAAAAAAGACCCCAAATAGCCACAGCAGTTTTGAAAAGGAAGAACAAAGTAGGAGGGATCACAATATCAGGTTATATTACAAAGCTACAGTAATCAAAACAGCCTGGTACTGGCAAAAGAACAGGCATATAGATTAGTGAAACAGAAAAGAGAACCCGCCCTGACCACTTTGGCTCAATGGTAGGAGAGTCAGCCTGCGGTCCAGAGAGACCCGGGTTTGGTTCCCGCTAGGGGCGCGTACCTCATTTTGCAGTTTGTCCCTGGCCCTGGTTGGTCGTGCGGGTGGCAGCCACTCAATGTGTCCCTTTCAGGTCGATGTTTCTCTCCCTCTCTCTCTCTCTTCCTCTCTCCCCCTCCCCCACTACCTGAACAAAAAACGAAAAAATGTCCTTGGGTGAGGATAAAAAAATAAAAAAGAAAGAAATAAAAAAGAACAGAGAACCCAGAAATAGACCCACGACATTATGCTCACTTAATATTTGACAAAGGAGGCAAGAGCATACAATGGAGTAAAGACAGCCTCTTTAATAAATGGTGTTGGGAAAATTGGACAGCTACATGCAAAAAAAATGAAACTAGATCATCAACTTACACCATACATAAAAATAAACTCAAAATGGATAAAAGACTTAAATGTGACCCATGAATCCATAAAAATCCTAGAAGACAATGTAGGCAAAATTTTGGACATCATATGCAGCAGAATTTTCACTGATACATCACCTAAGGCAACAGAAACAAAGGAGAAAATGAACGCATGGGACTACATCAAACTCAAAAGCTTCTGCACAGCAAAAGAAACACCCATCAAAATGGAAAGGCAACCCACTGTATGGGAAAACATCATTGCCAATGATACATCAGATAAGGGGTTAATTTCCAAAATATATAGAGTGCTCATACAACTCAACAAAAGAAGACAAAGAACCCAATTAAAAACTGGGCAGAGGACCTAAAAAGACACCTCTCCAAACAGGACATACAAATGGCTAAGAGACATATGAAGAAATGCTCAACATCACTAATCATCAGAGAGATACAAATTAAAACAACAATGAGGTATCACCTCACACCTGTTAGAATGGCCGCCATCAACAAATCATCAAACAACAAGTGTTGGCAAGGGTGTGGGGAAAAGGGGACACTGCTGGTGGGAATGCAGACCAATGCAACCACTATGGAAAACACTATGGTGTTACCTCAAAAAATTAAAAATTGAATTGCCATTTGACACAGTGATCCCACTTCTAGGTATATACCCTAAAAAGCCTCAAACACCAATCAGAAAGAATACATGTACCCCCATGTTCATAGCAGCACTATTTACAATAGCTAAGATCTGGAAACAGCCCAAGTGTCCATCAGTAGACGAATGGATAAAAAGTTGTGGTACATATACACAATGGAGTATTATGCGGCTATAAGAACAAAAGATCTCTTATCCTTTGAGATGACATGTAGGGAACCTGGAAAGTATTACCCTAAGCGAAACAAGTCAAGCAGAAAAAGACAAATACTATGTGATCTCACTTATTTGTGGAATATAATGAACATAACAGTCTGAGGAATAGGGCAGACCCAGAAACATGGAAGTAGGGTACAGACTGACAACCCTCAGAAGGGGGTGGGATGGGGGGAGGGAAGAGATAAACCATAGAACTTATATGCATGT